TCCCCTGCTAGGTTGGTCCCTCCGTGTATTTCCCGTAGCTTTTATTCACGCTTTGGATCCTCCCCTGCTAGGCTTTCATCGGAGTCTCCAGGGTTGCCCTTACACCTGAGCAGAGGGGGAATCCTTAGTGAACTACTACAACAGAAGGAAGGGACGCTACAGACTCACCTGAGCAGAGGGGGAATCCTTAGAGAATAAGCCAAGGAGCCCCCTGCCCAGGTGCACTACTATATACTAGTGACCGGAGTAATGATAGTGTTATATCCGTGCCGAATCCGGCATCCGATTCCGTTATCGATTCCAGTCTTTGGTTTTTACGCAATGAAGATTTACTGAGTGTTTCCAATTACCCCGACTTATGATCTATGCAATCATCTATGCCTTGTTCCTCGTATGCAACTCCTCTTCTACTTTACTTGACCTTGTTCTAATCTTGTTCCTTACTTTGTTATACCTTATTCCGTTTCCGTCACTTCTCACACTATAAATACCTTGATGTATTATCACGTACTTCAGTTTGTAAATTAACATTGCTGGCCTCTATCTCCCAGCGTCGTCTCGACTCCGCTCTTCTCTTCTTGTCTTGTCTTGGTCAACTGGAAGCCCCGGTCACCCATACATCCCTCTGTGGTGTTCCGCCCCCAAGTGCTCTCTGACTTCGATTCCGTTTCTGACTCCGTCTTCGACTCCGTCTCTTTGGTCGACACGGCACTTAACAGTATTTACAAACTCACTTCCTTTTGACCAGGTCAAATGTACACCTCTCTTCTGACAACATTAACCCCGCCAATACTGTTCCACGGTGTACATCCCGCTTCTACGATCAAATGGTTCCTCTCACTTCGCCTATGGCGAATTTCACCTACAACACTGGCGCCTCCTGTCATTTCGGTTCCTGTTTCTGTTCCTCGGACTCCCACTAGCACGACCAACCCTTTCCGGCCTGGTTTTGTTACGACTCCGCAGGATCCTGATCCAAGTTCTATTCCTTTGCCAACGACTCCACATCCTAACACGGGTCGTTTCTCTAATGTCAGTTCCCCTCCCGTCTCTCCTACATTTTGTTACCGACCCCTCACACCTACACGCCTTCACGACATTGAAGAAGAAAGCAAGCCCGTTCCGATATATCGGCACGCTTTCAGCAGGCCCATGAGTCCTGCTCAAGGTCACTCCGGAAACGGAAACGATTCCGGTCAAGGTCAACAACGCCGCAACTCTACTCCGACTATTAGCGGCAAGCCGAGTCCATTCTTGACTTCGCCTTCTGGCTCCCCTCCTGGCTCACCCAGAGGTGGACCTCCTGGTGGCGGCGGACCGGACCTAGTGGTCCTGGTGGTGGCCCTGGTGGATCTGGAAATCCATTCTGGGGCCCTCCAGGGGGTGGTGGTGGCGGAGGAGGCGGTGGAGGTGGAGGTGGAGGTGGTGGACCACCTGATAGAGGTGGTGGTGCCAGAGTCCCTCGAGCTGGCTCTCCGGGCCGTGATCTTCAACACGCTATGATTGGCGCACTCCAAAATTTCCAACATTTCCTCACCAACTTTCCTCAGCGCAACAATGCTGCGCCCCGTTTCCAATCGGAGTCTACTCCAGGCACTGGACACGTTCGATGATACTGAGCCCGCAAAACTCATCCCTTTCCTCACCCAGTGCTATATGCACTTCGCCGAGCGTGAACAGGACTTCTCGACTGATGATGAGAAGATCATCTACATCACCTCATATCTGCGTGGAAACGCTTTGGCGTACTTTACGCCTAACCTGTATGCCATGAATCAGGGCCAGGCTATTGCGATTCCGCCTTGGGACGGAAACTTTCCTTTGTTCATCAAGGAACTCTAGGACAACTTTGGTCCTCAGGACCCGGTTGGCGACGCGGAGGACAAAATTCGGAATGTGAGGATGAAGTCCGGTGATAAGATCACCACTTACATTATCCAATTCGACACACAGACCTATAGTTATATTAGTATTATGTAGTCACTACATTTCTACCATAGGATAGTCTAAGTTAGCAAGCACATTATTTAATTAGAGATTCTAGTCTTAGATATTAATATGTATATGATAAGAAATCCATAAATCTGGGTATATGATACAACAAGATATAATTATTACTGGCGTTGAGCAAATCGCACCCTTCCAGATTGGGATGGATGAGAAATATACTCAAATTCAACTAGTAGCATTTGCAAAACACCCTAAAAAAAGGTCAGCAAGTTACTCTGATATAAAAGTAGCTATTCATTGCTCACATTTCCCAAAATGTAGCATGGTCCATCACCTATAGGAGCTTTGAAATAGCCACCTAAAAAGTTGCACCAGACAGTGTCATTACTTGGGCCAGCTCGATGAAGGTCCACAAAGTGATAAAGTGGAAGAGGAAGGATGTTATTCCCAAAGTGACACTGGATAACTTCAGATTGAAGGGCTGGGTGGCTTCTTCTGCAGTAAAATTTCTTGGCCTCTGTATTAAATATGGCATTTAAAGTTGTTGACAATGCATCAATAATTTCCATAGGTAGAAATGAGCAGTTAGAACCTGGATTCAAATATCAGATCTTAGAGCATATATTCTGTTGTAAGCCAACCTGTGTCAATGACAAGGGGGTAGCTATAGGGCCTATTCCTGTAGTCCCTACAGGGGACTTCTTGATTTGCTATGGTGATTCCATTGAACGGAATTGCCCAGGAGACAAATCCAGCCACTGTAGGCATCCAATTGCTCCAGCCATTATGTTTTATAGCATCACCTTGACTTGATTCATCTGGCAAATAATTGTTGGGTCCAAGAATAAGATAGCTATTAGACCTGCCAATACCATAAATTGATAGAAGATAAGTTATAAACTGGTATACATACCCATTGGATCCTAGGGCAACTGTGAATCTTGCAGCCTAAAGATATTTCATTTTAAATAGTTAAATAAATAAATAAAATATCCTTACTGGAATCTTTCTTTGAGTTGACAGCTGTTGAACAAAAATCTAGTAAGAATCAGAATAAGCTATTATCTAAGTTGGAGTTTGAAAGTATACCTGATTACAGAGATAAGAGAAATTAGTAGGTGGCCTCGAAGTATATTAGTATAACCAGTATTAAAATTATAGAACACTTACATCAATCCCATTCCAAATATTCCATCAAAGTTCCATTTGAGGAAAGAAGCAGATGCTTGAGTTGCTGTCCCAAATATCATATCATCAACACGATGAACCTGATATCTATTCTCTGATGTTGATTTAGGATTTCCAACAACAAACATTGGGCCTTGATGCAGTTGAGGTACTATATGGTCTAAGCATGTCTGGGGGTGTGAAGAACAAGAGGATATGTACCAATTCCAAGTTGATTGAAGTACTTGTATATTGGAAGAGTTATAAACAAGGAAGTAGCATTTGAAGCATAAAAGCAGGAGCCATGAGGACGTTGGAAAGCAGTTTGAGTTTCCAGCTGAACTGTGTTATGGGTAAATGCCCAGCTAGAAAGTGTAAATTTGAATTCGGATATAATTGCAATCAAAATAGCTGACACAAAATTTGAAGCTGAACGAGTCAATTAATCTTCTCTATGGTTCAGATATAGCGGAAGCTCACCTGTGTCAAAGAGAAGTTTGAGAAGATCCGCTCCAACAAGAGGGTCTGCTGCATCAATTCCCTAAATAACGCGGCCGGTGAGAGTTGAGAGACAATATGCGGCTCGTGCACACACCACTGTAACCGTGTGCAGTTGATCTAACATTCAAGTTGTTGGAATGAGTGGCTCGTAGCTTAATAGGGCCCATACCATTTTGCAAGGGGAAAAGTCCGAGAATCCGGTCATCCAGCTCGAATGTTTCGCCGATTCTACCAATCCCGCCACTCGCGGCAAAGACGGCCACGGTGTTCAAGTTGAAGTTGTTGCCCATCCAGCTCGCCAGTGATTGTGCATTTGTCGCTGGGAGAACGGGCATTTCCTGCTGGGGTGGAGGTGCTGGGGCTGGCGTCTCTTTCGAAGACTTGTACACCCGGAGCCGCTTGCTCTCAGGATCATAATATATGCCAGCGGTGTCCACGGTTGGCCTATGGATGCGGTTCTTCGCAACATCGGCGGCGGTCTATTGACCACAAGTCGTGAGCAACCTCTCGAATGGTTTACAAGCGTGCTCTCACCCGCTGGAATTCGTGGAGCGCAGTGTTGTACGGCATGCGCTGCAGGGGCACCATCTTGATTTCGTCGGACATCGTTTGGTTGGTTGTGAGCTCGGATAGGATAAGAGGGGACAAGTAAATTTTCTGGGAACTCGCATGCACACCAGCTCGCTTTTAAACGGAACCGACCGTTGTTGAGAGAACAATTACCTGGCGCCCACAGAAACGAAGACAAGAGCCGGTTTCCTTTCTCGGACACAGAACAACGAGGCCTAGCGACGGCGAGAGAAAGCAGAATAAGAGAATAACAGCGATCACCCAAGGCTTGTCAACAGAAGCCAGTAGAAGTGTGGGTCCCTTCTGATAACGGTACCGGTTGCCAGTGTTCTTCAAGTTGCTTGTTGCATTCGTTTTTATTTTCGCTGGGATGGCGTGAAATAGACGAACGCTTTCTAAGACGAGTTTGCATGTGGAACCCAGCCCAAGCCACCGATAAAAGAGCGGAATGCAAGTTGTGTATGTGTGGGTCGAAGTCAACAGGAACGGGAATCAAGAGTTGTCAACCGTGACAGAGTACGCATATGGTCCTCACAATAAAAATACTCTTCTTTTGGCACAGAATGCAAGTCGAAGCTGGTGTTGCAGGCCCACAAAGGAATCCAAAAGAAGACCTCACAATCGTCCAAGTCCAAGGCTGATACTAGGTAGTATTCCATAAAGCATAATCGAACGAATGGATGTACTCAACTAATTACAATAAGACATATCCTGTTCCAGCTCAGAATAAAAAAAAAGAACGGGTGAGTATGTACGACGTAAGTAGATGGACGAGATCTCGCATATAAACAGGATTAAGTTAGGACCACGCATTAAGCGCCGACCTCAGCGACCACGCCATGGCCGGCGGGGGTATATGGCGCAGCAGAGGGCGATGTGTAAACGGGGGTGGTGGGGGTGGCGGGCAGCGGCGAGCTCGAGGCGGGCCCGTCGGGCCGTTTTTTCGAGCGAAGGGGTTTTCGAGGAGCAATCTGTTGCGACGAAGCAGAGACAATCGGCTTGGTAATGCTTCCCTCAAGCCGTTCTCCACCCAAAAACAGTTCGACCAACGCCAGCTCCATCAACCCGTCCGGGCTCGGCGCCAGCGAATTTAGTTGTTGCTGGTGTAGCGAGTCAGAGGCAGAAGGTGACGGGTAGGCGTCGGTTGGAGAGGTCGCAGGACTCTTGACACCGGATTTGGAGAGGAACATCTCGACAATCAACCGGCACTCGTCCGCATTGGTAGCAGCAGCCAACATGCGTCGCATATCGTGCGCATGGTCTTCTGCAACAATAGGGATAGGGGCGACAGGTGGGGCAGGGAGTGGCTGGCGAGGAGCAGGGGAAGTGGGCGAAGCTTTGGGAGGCGGGGCTTGATTCGGCTGGACAACACGGAGAGACTGGCTCTGACCGGCTACAGAAGGCTTCCGTGTCCTGAAGTCCTCCCCGCCAGAGGTGTATCCGTTCGTCTTAATTGGAGTAGTCCCATTCTCCCTCCTGGGTGTTGTTGGTGCGGATTGTTTTCTCGCCCGAACGGAATTGAACTCATCCTCCCCTTCGCTCGCGGGTGGCGAAATTGGCTGGACTGGTGGAGGCCGAGGGGGAATGGGTCGATTGGCGAGATTTCCGTAGGAAGTCTGATGCGCCAGGCCTGGTCCCGTGGTGCGTATCGGTGTCGTTGGCGACATTGCCTTCCTCCCGAAATCCTCTGACGGCTGACTTCTACCCCGCTCCGAGGTACTCATCGACAGTTTGCTCATCATTCGTTGCAGCCTGCCCGACCCCTTCTTCCCGTTCTCTACACTGCTGATCCCGTTGCTTGACGTAATGCCGTTGCTAAAATCGGGTGGCCCTTGATTCAAGAACTCGACCATGTCTCGCCCAGCAGCAGATAGTTTGTGGGTGCGGGGGGGCTCGTCGGGAGGCCCCTCATTGAGGAAGTCCATCAACTCTCTGGTTGATTTGGAGACGGCAGATGGGCTTCGCATCCTGCCAGGGGTTGATGATGGCGTTGCCGACATACTCTTGGCTGGTGTTTGTGGGAGTGGTGGAGCAGAAGTATCGTCGAGTTCATCGTCAGAGCCAGCCATGACGTCGTCCAAGTCTAGGGACTCGCGGTTTTTCTGAATTCGACGTGTTTTGGCTGGGAAGCCTGAGTCCGTGTCAAACCCTCGAGGCCCTCCACCTCCAGGCTGTCGACGTTGAGGGGTTGGCGCAGGCATTGGCTCAGCAAGAGTCGCTTTGGACGACTTGCGAGGCGGAGAGGTGATGGAAGTGGGAGCAGAAGAAGAGGGATTATTATTCTTGCGCGTGGGAGTTGATTTCGGCTGTGAAGCCTCCTCTTCATCCTCTTCAATCGCATTAGGTCGGATCGACGGCCTCCTGCCATTCGCCCGAGGGGTTGCAGTCGTGCTGACTGTTGATGGGCCGACCGAGGCGCTGGTATCCACAGGGGCAGGGCGCCGAGCACCTTTCCCTTTTTCTTGCTTGTATACCTGTTATAGAAATAAAAAAGGAAGCCCATCAGATCGAGATTCTCCTGTCAGATGCCCGACAACACGCACCTCCATCGTCTTTAGCCGATCCGGTGTAAGCGAAACTTTCATTGTCGACCCAGACCGCATGAGATTGTCAAACTCTTTCTCCAGTGCAGAGTCCTGCTCGACAGTTAGAGAGCTGCCAATAAGCATCAAAAACCAGACGCACTTCAGGGCTATCAGAGTTAGAATTGTACGCTGCCAACGTCTGTTTCGTGTCTTCGCTCAACACCGAGTCTGATCGCTTATGCCCGTTGGTCGTCCCATCTTCGTTGGAATTTGAGCTTCGAGTGAACTTCTTGCGTGCCTTGTCAAAGGACGAGCGCGAGTTGGAGGAAACTGAGGGGGACATGGTGGTGGTAGGGGTGATATCAGTGGAGTTTCGGGAGCGATGGCCGGTCGAGGACTCCCTGCCAGAAGTTGTTGACGACACCAACTCCTGATTTGACGGCGAGTTGCGCGACAGCGATGACCGCTCGTTCCGTGAGAAGGACTTGCTGCGACGTGGCTTCGGTGTTTGCGTTAGTTGTTCTATCTGTTGATAAACTAGGAAACGTCAGATGGGCTTGTGCTGAGAAAGATGGAACCACAAACCTCGCATCGACTTGAAGAGCTCGTAGATCGAGTGGTCCTCGCATAGAGCAACGAACACATCTTGCACTGTAGCACTCGTACGACTGCTATCGCGGGCGGCCACCCTCCCAACATTGGACAAGATGTGTTCGCATACGGATCTAAAATTTAATCAGCCGTGTTTCGCATTAGCAGCACAGGCTAATAGACTCACTCAAGAATAGCCGTCAGATATAGGGAAGCCGGGGCAATGAGTGTGGATGCTGGAGGAGTAGTCCCGCCTAGCTGCGACATCCGTTCCTGGAGTTTTGAGACAGCAGTGGAGTCTTCATCAGACTCGTTTAATGTGCAATATGCCTCGCACTTGAGCCGGAGTAGCTACCGAATAAATGTCAGTCATGGCGGAGACGAGACAACAGGCGCGCACCTCGAAAGCCCACTGTAGATTAAACGTTGTGCCATCGTCCTCTCTTTCACCCGGGCCTGGCCGGGGAGTTCTTTCCCAATATGCTCGTAGCTCGACCTCCGCTTCGAGTAATGCTTCCTTGCCCAAGCTGGTCGGGAGAATGCTTAACAGGCTCGCGCGCAGCTTGTCCGTCGAAAGCGACCGGGCAGTATTGAGAATGTTGAAGAGGAATTCGTCAAGAAGGACATTGATGGAGCGGAGACCATCCACTTTCAGCTTAATGGGCCGGATGTCGCTGAGTATGACGTCGGCAGAGTGTGAGGAGATATATTGTGGGCCTTGTCGGGATTAATGTGGCGCAGTACGAGTGGAGCAAGAAACATTACCCGTAACCTCCGGGGCGGTCATGGACAGAAAGAAAGACGAGAAACGGGTGTCACGTTCAGCACTGCACGCGCCAGATGGATCAAAAAAGAAGCTCAAATATCCATACCATTGCCAGTCCCAAGACGACGACGAGAGCAACGAAGGCGGCAGAATTCAAACAGAAGATGTCGTCAAGCTAAATGTTTCGTTATACAAGGCACGTAAGTACGTTATGGAGCCAGGAGAACGAATAGAAGCCAAATCAAACTGCAACGACTAATTACTCAAAGATACTAGGTCTACTCGTCATCCTGAAGCATATCCAAAACCTGGTCCTCCTCGTCTACACCATGACCTTCTGTAGAATCTGACTGATCATCCTCTTCTATTGCCTCAATTCGAGGTGTCTCCTCTTCTGCTTCTTCCATCGGTCCCCAGGCAGCCATCTTCGTTTCAGTGCCAATAGACTCCTCCAAAACGGTGGCATCAGAAGCATTCTCCTCAGACTCGGCCTCTGCTGCCACCTCATCTTGCAACAACCCACTCGGCCCAGCTTCAGGCGGGGCTAATAGCGATTGTTCTTGATCAACAGCCTCTTCATCCTCACTCGGTTTGGGATCTTCATCATCCTCCTCTTCTTGCCGTTGCCTCAAAAGTTCCTCTTCTTCCAGCTCTCGTTTGGCCGCCAGCTGGTCCGCTGTTGGCCACAGCACAAACTTGCCCTCCTCAATCAACACCGACATTTCTTTCGATGGCAATGGCGCAAACTCTTTGTCTCGCAACCTGGTAGCCTGCGATGTCCTGGCCGAATAGTCTGTCTCCGAAGAGTGCATGTACTCATAGTTGGGCAACAGAACGGTTCCCATCCGCTGCGTGGCACTGTACTGCTTGATACGCAGACGCGAAGTTGGCGCACAGATGCTCCGTAGTACCTATAGCCGTATTCATACTCCGATTGATACAAGACCAAAGCAAGCTTACCCATGGACCCACTTGCGCATGTCGCTCAGCCGAAATGCTCGTCGCAAACCCTGACAACGGCAAGAAGAACGTCCACGTAGGGACCTGATTTGGCAGCACTCCCGGCTCAGAGGAGAAGACACGTAGTGGACGTGTACCCGGCCGAAGTGGCCTGCCCTCCCTAACATGCGTTCGCTGATGTTCTGTCAACTGAGCAGGTCGCCGGAAAATCTCGTTGCAGTCTGCCAAAGGAAGTGGTAAAAAGAAGAAAAAACGCGTAGCCACTGACCCTGATAAGCGCATGGTATTGACCGAAGAACGTGACTTTCGAGATGGATGGCTAAATCGACTGAACTCGCAAAAGTCTTGCCGGCACAATTGTGCCAAGCACAAGTCTACAAAGAAGATTAGCAAGCATTGATGATCCAAAAGTAATAACCAACGAGTTTCTCGAGATGTTCATTCAGGACATGCGCAACGAGATGCCCAAGTGAATTCAACACTGACTCGCAGGCGTACCATCGACAAGGGATCTCCCCCAAACAGTCTAAAGCCCTTGACATCGCTGCAGCCTCATCGTCATCTAACACAGTCAAAAAACCAATCAAAGCAAAATCAAGATAGCGAACTTTGTACATGGTCATACCAGCCTAAATACGCGATGAGCCCGACTTTTTCTTGCTCAAAGACGAGCCCTGCGTACCTCGCGAGCGATTCTGTTTCAGCGTCGACAGATCAAGTAACGGGTGCTTAGGTACGGCCTTTTCTTTCCCCTTTGCCTTCCTAACTCGCTCCAGCTCACGTTCCGACTCAGTATCGTCGCCCTCCCCTTTCTTTCTGGCGGCAGACTGCTTTGCCTTGAACTTCGTAACCCATTCTGGAGCTGGCGGTATCAAGACATACGCCTTATTTTGTCGTCCCGATGGTGGTGGCGAGGGTAAAACAGGAATCAGTGGTGAAGAAGACTTCGAAATTGAGCCTCCATCGTCAGGAAGGAACAACGGGACACGATTAGGTAGGTTTGGTATGTGCGAACTTGACCCAGGGGCCTGCCCAGGCCGATAGGGGTTTTGCGTCGATAACGGTCGAGGAGTAGGCGCAGCAGGGTTGAAAACCGCAGTACCTGGGATTACGTGCTTCGGAATTGGCGCAGCCATTGGGAGCGATACGATTGGCTGTCCCTGAGCTGGGCCGGGGACAGGGGCTCCTTGCCCTGCGCTCATAATTGCTCTCCGTTTCGCAAAGCGCACATACTCATCATCGGCCTTGTATAATTCTGTCTTTCCCAGCGCACGAAGAAGGTCATGGGCAAGGAAAGTGGTGGGGACTTCTTTTGGCGTTCGCGGCAATGACGCGGGGGGGAGTGGTGGTTTAGAAGGTTGTCTTCGGGGTGTTCCTTGGGGAGGGTCGGTTGGATATCGAGCTTCTGGAGCATTTTTCGATGCTTGACTAGTCAAAACAACATATTCACTTCGTATCGTCGGGTCCAATGTTTTTGCGAGGACAACATGTGAACCCGTCCGACGACTCACATAGATCTGGACTTCGCCTTGCAACGAAACTAGTTGAGGAACCTCTGAGGGAGAAATCCATTCTCCGACCCCTTGCCCGACGATTCCAGCCGTTCTGAAAAAATATAGGAAACCCCCCTCCCTTTTGATGACACGAAGCTTAGTCATGGGAATGTCGAGGACAGCCTCACTTGCTACGGCTTTTTGCCAGTGGTTCAGAAGTGTTTGCAGCCTTGTCCATCGCTGTGAAAGATTTGGGAGGTGCTGAGACGTGGAGGGGACGGGTGTTGATATGCTGGCACTGGATGCAGCAGGAGGGACGGTCGACGATGAGGGTTGTGGTACTTTGTCGAACTTGAACTTCTGAACAGTGAATTGGGATGATGAAGGCGCAGTTGTCTTCTGTGTCGTGCTCGACTTGGAACTCCCGGGTGCTTGTCCTGCAGCCTTGGTCACCAATTTCGGGTTCGACCCGCTCGCAATAGCATTCGTTGGCGTTTGTGATCTAGAAGAAGCTTGCGATTGAAGCAGTGCAGTGTTCAATGCACTCGCTGGTGTTAAATGTGCGGGGGCCTTCACAACAGTTGTCGTCGCTCCAGCATGGGCCGCTGGAGGCGGGCCACCTTGACCACCATTCCGTACCGTTTGCCCATTCGCAATGCCGTCGGATCTATGTAACAGAGGCGCATCATTGGGAGTGGGGAGATTAGAGGAAGTAGGGATCAAATGCGAGGCCACTCCGTTTGACGGAGTTGGTCCCCTCATAACGCCGTTTCCCGTGGGCGTTGGCCTCCCATTTGATACAGCATGTATTGGTGAATTCTGTTGCGCATTCGTCATTGAAGGGACCCCCAGCTCTGCTCGTCGCTGTTGTCCAGAGCTGGATGCAAATGGGGAGATGCCGTAGCTGAGTTGATTCCCATTCTATTCCAGCACTTTTTAGTCGAGTGAGGGTGAGCTACCGAATATATACGCACCGAGGGCCCGTGAGATACCGTGACTTGGTGTTGTGGATAATTCGGTGGTAGTGGATTAGTGAGCTGCTGCCGGAAACGTTTAGTCATTGTCTGTGGGATTCAAGGGCATATTTCTAACAGGAGGGACTGGAGGCACTATTCGTTGGTTCGGGGCGGGAGTGTGTGGGGTTGAGGGATACTGTTGTTGAGATGGGAAAGCCGGATTGTTTGTATATGACCATTGAGCTGAGTTTCCGTTCTGTTGCGCAGGGGGCTGAAAACAAGTCAGACAAAGAAGTAAGCATCTTGCAATATTCGTACAAAGCGATCTGGACTATGAATTTCTTCGATCGTCGCGGTCGGCATTGGCTCGTAATGGATAGTGGGCGGAGGCGGCACAATGCCTTCGTCTAGCTGCTTCAAACGGAAACTAAAAGATCTCAATAACGTGAAAGAAAGGTGAGTGGGACACGCACGCAGCTTCTTGCGCTTGTTGTTGGTAAAACTGCCGTTGGTGATTTTTGAGACCTTGGTCGTTCTTTGCCTCCATCTCTGCGAGTTTCCTTTTGTAAAAGGAAATTTGTTCGATGTTGGCGGCATGTTCCTCTGGTGTGATGATATTGGGAAAGGAAACAGGCAGGTAAGCCTCGCCACGCGACATTGGCCGGTGGTTGAGAGCAAACCGCTTGATTTAGTACTCGTGATCACCTGTCAATCACTGCGATTTTCGTTCTCCGTCCTTTAGGCCGAGTTGACACAACAAACAGCTAAACAGGCGCTTCACACCACATTCTTCAATAAGAATCAGTGGTGGGCCTTGACAGCCACTTACAGCTGTACATATATATGTGGCTAATAGTAGGTGAAAATGTACACAACACTGTTAGTACACCCCAGAATGATCATACGACACCGTTAATAATTGACAATACTAGTACCCAAGCGCTGCGTCATTGGTTCGGGCCCACTGGCGGATACCATCGATAGTGAAGTGGAAGGAATGGGCATGTACAGACTAGGTCTGGGGGGTTCGCGTTTGCGGACTTGGTATTCGAAGCCTCCATTGGACCTCACTTGGACAAGATCCCAGATCAACCATGGACCCCAAGGGTAAGCCAGCACCTGTCCACCCGTGTATGTATAGGCCGAAATCTTACGAAGCACGGAAGGACGCGCCCTGTGCTCTGCAAGGCTGGCGACCAGCTCTTCAATGTAATCATACGAATCACCGAAATAGGCGATGCCTCTCTGTGCCAGCGCGACATCGGTTGCCCAAACTAGTGCACTTTGAAGCGCCTATCTCTGCCGCTGAACACATCCTCAGTGTCCTCCCTGCAACATTGGAAAGGCTACTTCTTATCGCCTATCCACTCAATGACTCGAGGTTCTTCAAACGACTGATCATTCCTGCTTCTGCTTTACTCCACGTACTGTCTCGTGTCGAATTCCCAGGTCTTCGTTCACTGGAGCGTTCGATGCTGATATTCCTGGCACCCGCGACTCTGATGCTCCCTTTGCACGCCGAGGCCACTACCAAGCTTCACAGGCTTACGTCGATAGACTAGTTCCTAGTCTTGCGGAACACAGAGCTCGTCCTTCTACGCTTCGCAGGATCTCGATTTATATGTGCACTAGTGCAGGGCCATCGAATTTCCCATGGGGACCATGGTTGATCTGGGACATTGTGCAAGTGAGGGTCGGCGGAGAACTTGAATACCAAATCCGTTACCGCAAAACCCCAAAACCCGTTCCGTATATGCCTCCATCTTCTATGTCTACGTTACCTCCCGGTTTTGACAGGGCCTTGCTGCGAGAAGTTCCGTTGCCGGAGCACATAATACAACGCTCTACTTAATTCCCATTCCATTTGAATGGGCGTGAATAATTTGTTTGTTTGCCAATACTATTATGCCACTGGATATCATCCTGCCGTCGACAAACAGCTGCACAGGCGGTTCACAGAACACTATCCGACGAATTGTCTATCCGACGGATATGATAGGATAGCATTACGCGGCACGGTCCCACTGAGGAACGCCGGTTTCCGGGGATTGGCCCGATATACATAGTACATAGCCAGTGCAGTAATACGAATATCTTTGTCCTGGGATTCCAAACAGTTTCCAAGTCGAGCTCACGCCCAGTCTCCCAAGCGCTGTAGAACCTAGTCTGCGAATGGAATCAGAATCAGTGTTAGCCCGTTGAGTCAAGGAAGTCGAGGAATCCTTGGTGGTAACCTGTAAATTGGAGTAGCATAGTAGACCTCCAGTACATCATATGCATGTTTTGCAAATATTGCTATAATTGTGAATCTCATTAGACGTCTACAACGCTGCGGCTCATCTAAGAAGCACAGTTTTTGAGAACTCAAGTTGTTGCGAGTGCGTAGTACTCATAGTATTAACAGGAAAACAGAGTTTAGATCGGACAAGGCAGTCCCCATACCATGATATGATTGCTTTTGAACTCCCTAGATGTCTCCATAAATTTTTATTGAGCATATCACTGGGCGGAGCCGCTTTATAATCTCATTCAACTCTCAACGATTGTGGTGCCCACGACCGCAGCAGAGCAGCAGATGTAGAAGGTCAAGTTCGCGACGCCTCCCAAGAGACCAGTTGAACCTGATATTAGATAGAGCTTATTCTTGAAGTGGTCGAATTTCTACAATCATGTCACGATGACCAATGTTTTTTTTTTTTTTTTTTTTGTTTCTGCACTTATATACCGCAACAAGTACACTAACTACTAAGACGCGGTGGCCGGGACGCCGGTTCCGTCTGGCCGCTCGGTGGTGGTGTGTGCCGGGTTTGGGATCAGAGCGGGATGTGACACCCTTGTATTTGTATTCTCATGTGCGCCCACACAACACCTATAACTCTGTCTTCCTTCCACAATCTCCCTCAATGGAGGCCATTCGGAAAGCCCTTGTCAATTCACGTTTTACACGCTGGATCCTGGGGCTCGCACGCTTCAAGGTGAGTCTTCTATGATCATCGATGCCTAATTCTCATCGCTGTGCTTAGTTTCGACTTTTCTCATGGCTGTGGACTCCTCGACATGGACAGGATGCTAATAATCAAATCAAGTCCCCTCGGCCTCCCAGTAATGGCTTGCATGGCCTGAACACTGACGTTTTCTCGGATATTTTTGCGCTACTGAATGGCCAGGATCGACGCGCATTAGCCACTGCTTCACCCCAGCTGCGCTCCTTGTTCATGCCACTTTTATTCCGTCGCATATGCTGGCAGCCCTTGTCTGCGCGCGGGTTTCCGCCTCCAACCCTGTGGTCATACATACGGTGGGTTCATTCTAATTTCGAGAGAAATGACACTCATCGTCGCTTCATTGACAGTATCTTTACTGTGCAAGGACGCAGCGGATTCTCCGGGTTCCAACAACCGACGCCTGCCGTGGACTACACGAAGGAACTCCAAGCCCAAATCACTTCACAGCTCAATGAGGCTCTTCCTTCGATGGCGAGTCTGGATGAGGTCCGCCTCTATAATATCCCATTCGGCCCATGGACAGAATTCATTGAATCGGTGCTTTTGACTTCAAGTGTCAAGCGACTGTTCCTGGCATCAGACCCTTGCGAAAACCCAAGTGAGGTGTCGCTATCGACTGTCTCTCGACTTTCGCACGTCTCGTACAACATGCACCGACCTTTACGACGCAATCCTGGTCCTGCTTACATGCGCTCTTACGGTTTCTACCATGAAGCAGACTTTCGATACCCTGCGGATCTTGCCGCAAGCGAAGGACGGCTGGCGCGCGCATGGCTAAATCCCAAAACTCTCGAAAGCTTGTCGATGCCTGGGGAATTCGTGCTCGAAGCGTTGGATCTCACTGTTCGCTGGGAGTTGATGAAGGAGCTCCATCTCGAAGGTGTTTTCCCCCTCAGCCCCAAAGGGACATCGGCAATGCTCGATGTTTTATGTGCCATGCCACGTTTACGAGTTGCCCGTCTCAAGCTCGAACAATGCAGTCAGGATACCGAATGTCGTGAATATGTCACGCAAGATGCATTGACAAGATTCGCCCACAACAAGAGTCTGCTTCCTGATCTGGTGCATTTCGAAGCCCCGATCTCTGCCAATGATCACATTCTTAGTGTCCTTCCTCCCACATTGGAAACATTACTTCTCATCGCATATCCCCTCAATGCGACGACTCAATTCAAACCGCTTGGCATCCCTGCTTCTGCTTTACTCCGCTTGCTCTCTGCCGCAGAATTTCCGACCCTTCGTTCACTGGAGCTATCTTATTCGACCAAAGCCGACGGAGAACTTTTGGCCGAGGAGGAACTACTCCAGGCCATTCCTCGAATCTTTCCTGCTTTACAACACCTTATGGTTCGACGAGATGCCCAGCGGGACGGTCCGGACGGTGTCCATTTTGCATTAGGGTGGGACCCAACTGTGAGTTATTCTTGCGAATTCATTGCTAGTAGTTCTAATTCATTCTTTCAGAGTCATTTTGAAACTCTCGTTTCAAAGCTTGCACATCTCGAAACGTTTTCATTCGACGCTGATATTCCTGGTACCCAGGAAGCAGACATCCTGCCTGCTCGCCATGGTTTTGTTAACTTCGCTCCCGCTAGCGAATACACGGTCCAGCTGGTCACTAGTATAGCAGAACACCGAGCGCGTCCTTCCAAGCTTCACAAGATTTCATCGTATAAGTGCACTGGTGGTGTGGTATCTGCATACCCCTGGGGACCGTGGTTGATTTGGGATATTTTACAAGTGGGGTTTGACCCGGATGGAAACCCCGAATACGAAGTCCGTAGACGCGAGCCCCCTCCTCCTCAATTTGATTCAAGATCACTCGGTATACCCTGGCGCCCTATCAATATGGTGTAAAAATCCTGCTTTGTACCCCGAAGGAACTCGTATGTCCACTTCACGGCTTGATGAATCATGATAACAATGGATGTCTTTTGTAGATGTCAACTCATGCGTTCAAAGCCGCTGCTATGACCGAAAGACTGGTAGTAACAAGGGTTGGGGATGTTCTTCAAATGTTTTATTGTGCTTAAATCGGCTTGAGAACCTATTGCACGTGTAGCAGAAAGAAAATTATATTCATCGATTCCCATTGAGGCGAGATTCGCGCAAAGGTATCGGAAAACGTAGGGAACAGCCTAGATTCTCGAGAGTCTATGAGTTCAGCCATGCCTGCGCCAGCCTCGTTCACTCCTGGTACGCGAAGTTCGAACGAGCTTATGGCGTGATTTAGAGGAGGGTAGTTGCAGGGCTGGTGCATGACACTGCATGTTGTACGAGACATGTGAGAGTCGACAGTTGTGAGGGAACAGCACTTGGAACCTTGCAGGGTTGTAATGCCAGAACTAGCCTTTTGACGCTTAGAGTCGATAAAACTACTTGAACAAGCTGCGGCCACGGTCCAAATGGGATAGAGCTGGACCTCATCCAAGTTGGTCATGACTCATGGAGGCCAGAGTCTTGAGCTGTGAGGCGCGATTCGTGCTTGGACTTCCGCAGTGTAGTGAGATTCGACCTCATTCAGGAATTGTGTAGCAGTAGTGTCGAACGTGTCGGAATCAACCATCTGACGAGTCAACTTAGTCAAGACTCACGAGTCAGGTGACCGTGCGCGGCCCTACACCCTCCATCATGTGCACCCACAACACGAGTATAATCTTGTTCTCCTTCTACGATCTCGCTCCATGGAAGCTTTGTGGAGAATTCTTGTGAACTCTCGCATTGGACGTTGGATTCTAGGGCTCAGACGATTCAAGGTTAGTCTCCGTTCACAGACGCTCACCGGTTCCCTTACAATGGTAGTTTCGGATTTTCTCGTGGTTGTGGGCCCCCATCAACGGCCAGGATACTACGAATAAAGTCGCTTCTCCCCACCCACCTCCCAACTACAGTCTACATGGCCTGAATACGGATATTTTCATGGAACTTTTTTCGCTGCTCAATGGGCGGGATCAACAAATGCTGTCCTCCGCTTCTCGCCAGTTACGGTCCCTGTTCATGCCCGCTCTATTTCGTCGCATAGAGTGGGCGCCGTTGCTCAAGCATGAGCTTCCACCGTCTTCATTATGGCCATACATACGGTAGAAAGCTCCAACCAATCTTGCCAACATATGTTGATATTCGTCGATAGTACTTTCGCTGTGCTGGGCGACAGATTCATTCGGACTCGTTTATTCGACAACGGGTATGAATCACACTACACACATCAAGTCCAAGTTCGAATAGCCTCGCAGCTCAAGGCCTTGACCTCTATGACTAACTTGGATGAGGTCCAGCTCTATGAAGTCCCATTTGGGCCGTGGCCACAGCTTATCGAAGTAATCATATCGACTCCAAGCGTCAAAAGACTAGTTCTGGCGTCGCATCCCTACTCAGGCCCAAGTCCTGTTGCCCTCTCAACGGTCTCTCGACTTTCACACGTCTCGTATAACATGCACCGGCCGCTCAAATACACACCTTCTAGTAATATCGCCGGCTTTTCTGGTGGCATCTACCATGACCAAACCTGCCAATACCCTGCGGACCTTGTCGCAAGCGAAGGACGCCTGGCACGGGCATGGCTCAATCCTAAAACTCTCGAAAGTTTATCCATGCCCGGCCAATTCGTGCTCGAGGCCTTGGATTTAACCGTTCGCTGGAACGCGATGAGGGAGCTCCACCTAGAAGGCGTCTTCCCTCTTGGTTCAAAAGGAGCTGAAGGGATACTTGACGTTTTACATGCCATGCCACGTTTACGAGTTGCCCATCTTAAGCTCGAAAACTCCAGCAACGATATCGGCTGTCGTGAATATGTGACGCAAGATGCGTTGTCGAAATATACCAGCCATCGTCTCTTGCCCGACCTCGTGCACTTCGAAGCGCCTATTTCTGCCGATGAACACATTCTTAGTGTCCTTCCTTCAACGTTGGAAAAATTGCTCCTCACTGCATACCCCCTCTTTGATTTTTTCTATTTTCAACGACTCGTCATTCCTGCTTCCGCCTTGATCCGTATACTCTCTCGAGCGGAATTTCCTACTCTTACTTCATTGGAGATTTCCTATTCGACCAAAGCAGATGGAGAACTATCCGCAGAAGAGCAATTACTCCAAATCATTCCCCGAAAGTTTCCACGCTTGCAACACCTCATGATTCGACGAGATTCTAAGCGGGACGGGCCTAACGAAGCCCGTTTGGCGGAGGGGTGGGACCCAACCGTGAGCTATCTATTTTGACTCTTTTCGATAAGCCTTAGTAATTGATTAATGCAGCGTCCCTTTGGAAATCTTCTTTCTCAACTTTTCCATCTCGAAACCTTCTCATTCGACGCTGATATTCCTGGCACCCGGGACGCTGATGCTCTATCTGCACGCCGAGGCTACTACCACGCTTCACAGGCTTACGTCGATAGACTAGTTGCTAGTCTTGCGGAACAGAGAGCTCGTCCTTCTACGCTTCGCAAGATTTCGATTCATATGTACTCGGGTATCCGAGATACAACGAACTACCCATGGGGACCATGGTTGATCTGGGACATTGTGCAAGTGAGGGTCGGCGGAGAACTTGAATACCAAGTCCGTTACCGCAAAGCCCCAAAGCTTGTTCCATATATGCCTCCACATTTGATGCCCACGTTACTTCCCGTTGTTGACAGAACCTTGGTGCGAGCAGGTCCCTTGCCGGACCACATAATGCAACGCTCTACTCAATTTCAATTCCATTTGAATGGGCTTGAATAATTTGTTTGTTTGCCAATACTATTATGCCAATATCATCCTGCCGTTACAAACAGCTGCACAGGCGTTTCACGGAACACTCTATCCGACGAATTGTGAATCTTATTCGAGTCTACAACGCCGCGACTCATCATCCAAGAAGCAAAGTTTTCCAACACTCGAGTTGTTGCGATTCAGAGTGCGTGGTACTAATAGTAACACGAAAACAGAGTTTACATATAGAAGAACACGGGGTCCTATTAGTATGGTGTAGAAACCCTGTAGTTTGTACCCCCGAATGTCTACTGCACGACTTGATGAATCATGATAACGAAAGCTGTCTTTTGCGGGTGTCAACTCCTGCGTTCAAAGCCCTTGTTATGACCGAGACTCGCAGTAACAAAAGTTGGTGTTCTTCGAATGTTTTATGGTGCTCAAGTGAACCCATTGCACGTGTAGCAGAAAGAAATTAATATTCATCGATAGCTAAGAGACAGCAAGAGAGACAGCGATTCCCATTGAGGCGAGTTCCGCGCAAAGGTATCGGAACACGTAGGGTACAGCAACGACATCGAGGTCGCCGCCTTTTGATGCGCGTCCAAGGACGTGTTGCGAAGTAATGGCAACGTGTAAATCAGCTTTTGGCGGTGGAGTGGCAGCGTCTCCGTTCGCCAATGCGGCCCTTTGACGCTCGTCATCTTGCTCCGCAGCTGCGCGACACACGCGACAGTATTCCCCACCCGGGCCAGTGGGGCGGATTGAACCAGAGGTGGCGACTGAGCCGAGACTGACGTCTTCATAGCCAAGAGAAATCAGGCTGCCGCATGTCCGACACACCCAGGCAGTCGAGTAGTCTGAACAGTTCATAAGGCGATCTTGGAGGAGGAAGGAAGTCCCGTGAGCAAGCAGTGCATCACGCTCCATTTCCCCGAATCGGATACCTCCAGCGCGTTTGCGGCCCTTGACAGGTTGACGAGTAACAGGGTCAACAGGGCCAGTTGTTCGAACCTGAAATTTATCAAGCACCATGTGTCGTAGGCGTTGGTAATAAACAACACCGATGTAGATGTCAGCCGCAAATTCCTGGCCGGTGATGCCAGAATACATCGGTTCGTTGCCGTAGTAGTTGTACCCGGCAGCAAGAAGCTGCTCGCCGAAATAGTCGATTGCAGTGTCCTCCTCGGTGAATTTGAACGGCGTCGCGTCCTGTGCCAGACCATGCATTGCCCCTGCTTTACCGGCCATACTCTCGACCAACATTCCAATCGTCATTCGACTGGGGAACGCGTGAGGGTTAATGATGACATCAGGCTGCATCCCGCTCTCGCTGAAAGGCATGTCGATCGCGGGCCATTTCTGCGAGCAGACACCTTTTTGTCCATGTCGTGATGAGAATTTGTCACCGATGACAGGTGACCGCGTTATTCGTAACGTGACCTGGATTTTCTGCAGCTCGGAATCTCCGGCGTCCGAACCTAAGCAGTTGATTGAACATTGAACGACTGTTGAGTTTAACGGTACCTAGCATCCGTACTTGATCCACAATCGCCATCTCGTCACCTTTGTACTTGGCAAACCGCGTTCGTCCGGTCGTGTCGTCAATGTAACCCGCTATTGGGTCGCCAGTGGAGAGATGTGCACCAACAAAGGGCAGTCCGTCTACATCAAGTGTCTGCAGACAATGATGAGGGTCGTCCTCCGGTCTTCTAGTGATTTCTTTGCCCAAACCGAAATGCAGCTGTGCAGGGCCAGTCTTTGTAGATCCTGGCAGGTCGCGTAGGTCAACTACTTGGGACTTGTATACAGTCCCGTAGCCAAAACCTCTTTCGTGAGCAGACTTGTTGAGAATCATCGCGTCCTCCATGTCGTAGCCCGTATAGGAGATGACGGCCACAATGGCGTTGGTTCCATTGGGGTAGGCGTCCATAGCATAGGTGTTGTGGAGGGCAGGTCGAACGACTGGTGTCTGTCCTGTTTGGAGACGGTAGAGTTTATTGTCTGTCCGATGTTGCAGAGCGGTCGATGGTGTCCCCATAGTTTGTTTACCCATCTACAGATCGTATTATTAAGACGCAAAAGGTGGGAAAACAACCATACCTGACACTGGTAGATGTTACGGGGACTCTGGTTGAAGTCCGAAAACGGTGTCAGATTTGCCAGAATCGACAAAAAGTTGGTCGGGTTATGCTCGACATGGGAGGAGGTGCCAACCTCGATCTCCTCCGGAGTGCAAGCGATGTCCATATAAACCTGCTCAAACGGTCCAACCTGATCGTCTCGGCCGTTTGCAAGATACTTCACAGGCCTCATCATCCGCGACCGCGAAGAGAACAAGAACAGGCCAGGGTATTGTCCGCCCCTTGACTCGAGAACCAATCCAACTTCAAGATCCAGAGGTATATCGTTCAGACCCTCCGTCTTCCATATTCGTAAATTAGTTGCGAGTTGTTTGGCAACGGCAGGCCGTGCCCAGCCGATAACACAACCGTCGAGTTGAACACAAATGTTCTTCCGACCATCAACAGACGCAGCGGAGAATGCCTGGGTCATACCATGAGCGGAGAGGACGGCGGGGATATGCCCGACAGCAAGGGTGGCGGTAACAATTCGGCAAGTTCGGGAGAGATGATTAAGGAGACCGCAAGGAGAACCATCGGGTGTGTGAACAGGGCAGAGGAAACCCCAGGCTTCGGGAAGAAGTTTACGGACAGTGGTCGTTTTAAGTTCGGCGAAGAAAGCACCACGGTGAATACATCGAAAGTGACTGATGTACCGTAACCAGTTGAGCTTTTCAGCAACAATGGTAAAGCCTGATGCTTGCTGTAGGTCGAGACCTGTGGGTGAAACGAGGTTGCCGGTGGCAAGGAAGTTGGCGAGTTTGGCGCCAATGTCGAAGCTGATCTTACTCAGAATCTTCTGAAGATATTTCTCTACAGTGCACGTTAAGATAGCTGCAAGAAGAGAGAACGTTGGTCATACTGTCATTGAAGTCGACCACGACATCGTTCCGCACATCAAGGCTGATGCTCGTTCGGATAGCATTGAGGATTTCTTCTAACCTTTCCTTGATTATCATTGCGTAAAGGTGGCCAGGAAGAAGAACTTCTTGGTGTTGAGGAGAATCGGGATTGTCGGCGCAGCATGAGTTGGACACTAAGGCGTATAGCTTGCGGAGCATAAAAATTAGCATGCGGTATTTATCGCGCGGGTTTTCCAGGTGGACGAGAATGAGTTTATTGATTAGATGCGCTCCTACTGCAGAGTTGGTCCAATCCTCCGGGGTGTTTAGAACGACGCGGAATTTATCGCCAAGGTATTCGAGACATTGGTCGCCAGTGCTCAATGTGAACATCTTGAAACTGCGTAAAAGCAGCTCAACGCGATCGCTTAAAAAGGTGTTGCCGTAGTCCTGCATCATGACGCCCTCGAATATTTCCTTGTCTGATGCTCCAACAAGAGCTTTGAGGACGAGCATGATGGGAATAACATATTCCTGCTTCCGCCAGCTAAAACGAAGCATTGCACTCCCATTAGAGAGGTAGTGCAGTGTGTTTGTGACTGCGGTTTCGTCTGGGCGAACGCAACGGATTTGAACGGCGTACTGTGTGTATGAAGGTCCACGAGCAGCAAATGTGGGTCGAAGGAGGGAAATGACATGATTTCGGCGGGGTAGAATGAGGTACCGGATGAGACGCTCGTTTCCATTGATGATAAAGTAGCCACCGAACTCTTCCGGCTCTTCATGCTTTTTGACGAGGTCTGCAGAAGACATTCCGGCGATGTTACATCGCACAGAGCGAACCATTATTGGGACGAGACCACATTCCTTGTGCATTTCATGTCTTTGACCTTGGGGGTCATTCCAACAGAGTTTTATGGTCATTTTGCCCCGATATGAAGTTAATCGCTCTCTTGCCTGTCATCCTCTTCAGTAAACTGTTGGAATTGATAGTTTCTGACGTGCCTCAGCAGGAAATACTTTGCGATTGATGGAGTGTTTGTCTTTCTCCGGTACCATCGGTCGTCCAATTGCAACGTCCTCAATCCAAACTGTCGAAACCCGTATGAGCTGTTGTCGGTTAGAAAGCTTGATTCCACTCACATTGCATTCGGTTGCCCCAAGAACCACTCTCCTTCCCACTCCCATCGAACACTACACGCTTTCCAATGCTCTCTACTCCAAGGGATATCAACCCGCGTCGGTCGCCGTCGTCGAAGAGATTGTTGAAAGATTCGATGTGTGGGGCGACAAACTCGTTGAGGATGGAGTATGTCGCGCCATTCTTCGGCGGATTCCTGAATGCCTCTTCGCGAGCAAGCGTATTGAACGTAGGTGGCCTTCGCGGCGCAGGCATGGTCTGCCGCAAAAAAAAATCGCGACTTCGGAGTTGCCGGAATAGGATGTGTCACACTGATGTGGGTCTGAGTCGTGACTTTGGCACCGCCACATCAAGTACTTAGTGTGACTACAGAGGGAGTCAAGCGCTTGCAACTCTCCTCCTTCCGCAATGTTTGGCTCTACGTGGGGCAATAATCAACAATCCCAACCACAGCAACAACAATCCTCGGTGTTTGGGCAGCCTTCAGCGTTCGGCCAGACTGGTACGTCTTCAACAACCGCCACAAACAACCCAGTCAACCAGCAACCAGCTTTTGGCGGCGGGTCTAGCGCGTTTGGCCAGCCACAGCAGCAACAACAGCAACCTACAAACTCGATATTTGGTGGTGGCGCGACTGGAGGTACAACAGGTGCTTTTGGTACGCGTCTTTTTTTGGTTGGTCTCTAATCCTGATCCATGCAGGTGCGTTTGGTGCCAACAACAACAACAACAACAATGGCCAGACCAACGCCGTTAATCCGGTATTCGGAGGTGCGAAGCCAGCGACAGGGTTTGGCGCGTTTGGAGGTGGTGGCACGAGTGCATTTGGTGGAGGTGGGGCATTTGGGGGTAATGCCGCAACGACGACGACTGGAGTATTTGGACAAACTGCAAACAACACGGGGTCCGCGTTTGGTCAGACAAACTCCATTTTTGGAAAGCCTGCAACAACAACGGCTTTTGGAGCTACAACATGTGCGTGGTCAAAAACGTTCCTTATATTCTGTATGCTTATCGTGCACGACTTTCTAGCAAATACCTCCAATGGTCCTATGGAGAACGTCCCACCTGTGACAACAGGCACCTCAAACCCACCATTCCAACCATTCAGCGAGAAGGATACTGCAACAAACTCGACCAGTCTTTACCAATCGATAACTTGCATGCCAACATACCGCGGCACTTCATTCGAGGTATGTGACCACCTCCGCCAATCTGAATCTCTCTGATCTTCGTTTCAGGAATTGAGATATCAAGACTATGCCCAAGGACGGAAAACAGCGGGTGCAAGTGCTACCGCATTTGGACAACCCAGCGCGTTTGGTGCCCAACAGCCGACAAACAATGTTTTTGGTCAGCCAGCCCAACAACCACAGACCTCTGTTTTCGGTCAACCAGCTGCTCAACCCGCAACCGGATTCGGAGCATTTGGAGGCCAGCAGACAAACTCTGTCTTCGGGGGTGGAACCACCAACAATGCATTTGGACAGCCGCAACAACAACAACAACAAACGTCTGCGTTTGGCGCATTTGGCCAACCTCAGCAGCAGCAGCAGCAACCCCAGCAAAGCAGCGTTTTTGGTGGTGGCACGACTGGTGTGTTCGGTAACAACAATGCCGCTGCTGCTGCCCCTAAGCCTGCCTTTGGCGCGTTTGGTAATAGTGAGTGTTTTTATCATTGTTATTCTGTGTCAACTAACTTGTAATAGATGCGTTTGGGAATGCTACCGCAACAACGCAACCGACTACGGGTTTGTTCGGGAATACAAATAACGCAAACAATGGACAAACCAACTCCGTCTTTGGTGGTGGTGGAGGGGCATTCGGCAACAACAACAATAACAACGCGCCGAAAACTGGTCTGTTTGGTCAACCCGCCGCTCAACCGACGCAAAATGCATTCGGTGGTAACTCGCTCTTTGGTGGGGGACAGCAGCAGCAGCCAGCCCAACAACCTTCTGCTTTTGGTGGATTCGGGACCAACAATCAGCAACAACAAACTGCTGGCAATTCTTGTTCGTATATTTCCAACTCTACGCCGCCGTCGTCGTCTAACATTCTTTCCCAGTGTTTGGTGGGAATACGGCCAATCCTGCGGGAACAACCAATAGCCTTTTTGGTGGTGGTGGGGCAAATACCGGGTCGGGTCTTTTTGGCAACAACAATCAACAGCAACAGACCAACTCGCTATTCGGGAATAAACCTACTACAGGTTTGTTTGGTGGAACGAACACAACAAATAATGCGCCAACCACGGGACTCTTCGGCAACACAACTCAGCAGCAGCAACCTTCAGCGTTTGGTGGCAATAGCCTGTTTGGGGCACCGAAACCCGCAGCTTCAGCCTTGGGACAATCGAACTCCATGACTGGATCCGGCCTGTTTGGTGGTGGGGGGGCATTTGGAAACAGCACCACCAATAATGCAGGCACGAGCAATTTGTTCGGTGGTAGCATGAACCTCAACAACTCCCAACAACCCCAGCAAATGTTGACGACTTCGATTGCTCAACCGATCGCAACCGACCTGTTCTCGATGCTTCCACCGGGCCCACATGCAGTATCTCTGGAGCAGTCGACCAAGAAGAAGGTCCCGTTCTTCGTCGATGTCCCCATGCGAGCACCAGTCCCCCGTGTAGGTCTGAGCTACAGCCCCGCTTCTTCAAAACTTCGCGGATTCGGTTCATCGAGTACCATGACCGTGACATCCGCGCCGGGGAATCCGTTCCATCAAGGCAACCTCGCTGCCTCCGCTCTTGGCCAGAGTCGACCTGGCGTACTCCGAGTTGACTCTCCCGACGCCCTTCTTCGGAGTTCGACGCCGACCCTTGGAAGCGGAACGAAGAATAGTGTCAAGAAACTAATTCTGGATAAGAAGGTCGAGCCGGGGGAGCTATTTGGCAAGACTTCATCGCCTGGAAGCGCTGGCAAAGGCAAGATCACGTTCAGCCCCGCCTTAAGCATCGCGGCGCGAGAAAAAGAGGCCCAGGCTGCCGCTGCCGCTACCACACGTGTCGCGGAATCACCATCTCCAGCAGCCCGGCCGGCTCCGGCGACAGGAAATCGATTTGCTGCGCAAGCCAACGATGACCATGGCGAGGGAGACGAGAACGGCGAAGAGGGGACATATTGGCTACGACCTGACCTGAACACACTGCGACAGGCAGGCTACACCAAGCTGTCCGCTTTCCCCGATCTGGTGGTTGGCCGTGTAGGGTACGGCGAGATTCGTTTCCTCGACCCTGTGGACCTGACCGGACTACCGAAACTGAATGTACTGTTGGGGGGCGTGATCAGGTTCGAAGACAAGGAGTGTTCGGTCTATCCGGACAGTGACGAGATCGAGAAGCCGCCAGCGGGGCAAGGGCTGAATGTCCGTGCTCGATTGACGCTGGTGAGGTGTTGGGCTGTCGACAAGGCTACGCGGGAGCCAATCAAGGATGCGAGCCACCCAGCAGCGATCAAGCACCTGAGGCGGCTCAAAAACATGAAGGAGACGACGTTTGAGAGTTTTGATCTAGAAAAGGGCGAGTGGGTGTTTTCGGTGGATCACTTTTAGTGGTGATTACATAATATTGTTCTCTTTTTCCGTGTCTGCTCGTAGTCTACGTACATACCTGTCTGCATGTATATCCACTCGTACAAGTAAATACGTCTGTTGTTTTTCAAGTTGTGATATAAGAAGGGGTCATAAGTACTTGTCGGATGATTCAGAGTTCCGTTACTCCATTTGCCAGGTTGTGAACGTCGTTGGATCGAATTCCGATAGAGGCAGTGTTTCGCGTTTACGGACTTCGTATTCGGGGTCTCCATTCGGGTGAAATCCCACGTGGATAATGTCCCAAATGGACCATGGTCCCCAGGGGAAGACCATTATCTGCCCACCGGTGCACTTGTATGACGAAATCTTGCGAAGCTTGGAAGGACGCGCTCGGTGTTCTGCTATACTAGTGACCAGCTGGACCGTGTATTCGCTAGCGGGAGCAAAGTTAACAAAACCATGGCGAGCAGGCAGGATGTCTGCTTCCTGGGTACCAGGAATATCAGCGTCGAATGAAAACGTTTCGAGATGTGCAAGCTTTGAAACGAGAGCTTCAAAATGACTCTGAAACAATGAATTAGAGCTACTAGCGATGAATTCGAAAGAATAACTCACAGTTGGGTCCCACCCTGTTGCAAAATGGACGCCGTCCGGACCGTCCCGCTGGGCATCTCGTCGAACCATAAGGTGTCGTAACGCAGGAAACATTGTAGGAATGGCCTGGAGTAGTTCCTCTTCGGCGAAAAGTTCTCCGTCAGCCTTAGTCGAATAAGATAGCTCCAATGAACGAAGAGTCGGAAATTCTGCGGCAGAGAGCAAGCGAAGTAAAGCAGAAGCAGGAATGATGAGTCGTTTGAAGAACTCTGAGTTATTGAGTGGATATGCGATGAGAAGTAGTGTTTCTAGCGGTGGAGGAAGAACACTGAGAATGTGATCGTTGACAGAAATTGGCGCTTCAAAGTGCACCAAATTAGGAAGTAGAGGTTTGTTGTGGGTGAATGTTGCTAATGCATCCCGCGTTACATATTCACGACATCCTATGTCCCCCTTGGATTGTTCGAGCCTGAGGCGCCCAACTCGTAGATGTGGCATGGCCAGTAGGACATCGAGCATTGCCGGGGTCCCCTTTGGGCTCAAAGGAAAGACACCTTCAAGGTGAAGTTCACTCAAAGTCTCCCATCGAAGATTTAGATCTAGGGCTTCGAGCACAAATTCGCCAGGTATGGATAAGCTTTGGAGAGTTTGTGGATTGAGCCATGCACGCGCCAGGCGTCCTTCGCTTGCGACAAGATCCGCCGGGCATCGGATGTCTGCGTTATTGGAAAACGCGCTATAGGATCGAATCCAATCACTATCGGAAGGGTGGTGTAGAGGTTGATGGATGTTGTACGAGACGTGCGAAAGTCGAGAGACAGTTGAGAGCGACACCTCACTTGGGTTTTCGCAAGGGTCTGATGCCAGGAACAGTCGCTTGACACTTGGAGCCAATAGCACCGATTCAATGAATTCTGTCCATGGGCCGAATGGGATATCATAGAGACGGACCTCATCCAGATTAGTCATCGAAGGAAGAGCCTCATTGAGCTGTGAAGTGATTTGGGCTTGGAGTTCCTTCGTGTAGTCTGCGGTAGGCGTCGTTTGTTGGAACCCGGATAATCCGCTACATCCTTGCACAGTAAAAGTACTGATGAAGCGACAATGAGGGTCGTTTCTCTCGAAATTAGAATGAACCCACCGTATGTATGACCACAGGGTTGAAGGCGGAAACCCACGCGGAGACAAGGGCTGCCAGCATACGCGACGGAACAGGAGCGGCATGAACAAGGAGCGCAGCTGGGGTGAAGCAGCGGATAATGCCCGTCGATCCTGGCCATTCAGTAGCGCAAAAATATCCGAGAAAACGTCGGTGTTCAGGCCATGTAGGCCAATGCTGGGAGGCGCTCGAAGGGATTTTATTTGATTATTAGCATCCTGTCCATGCCGAGGAGTCCACAGCCACGAGAAAAGTCGAAACTAAGCACAGCGATGAAAATTAGGCATCTAAAGTATGGAGGAGACGCACCTTGAATCGTGCGAGCCCAAATATCCAGCGGGTAAGACGTGAACTGAGGAAGACTTTCCGAATGGCCTCCATCGAGGGAGATCGTGGAAGGAAGACAAGGTTATAGGTGTTGTGTAGGCGCACATGAGAATACAAATGCAAGGTTGTCACATCGTGACATGATCATACCTTTGGACTGATATGGAGAATAAATGTCGACCATTGCGCCAGTCTGATAACACGAATAAAATTCGACAACTTCAAAGTTGAAGACACTCAGGACAATGTTCAAGTACAGCAGTCTTACAATACTTATGCTCTATCTAATTTCAGGTTCAACTGGTTTCTTGGGAGGTGGGTCAGGGCGCGGAACACCATCTTCATCGACCACTTTCCATCCCTTCCAATACAGCTCCGGTATTCCTCCAAGGTCACAGTACATGGAAATTATATCCAGCCATGGAGCAGCCTCAACAATAATCTTGGCCATGTCGTAGAGTCGATTGACATGCCACCAGTATCCGTCGGTTTGGTAGGGAAATGGGAGTTTTCCAAACCGCTGGGGCATATCTGGATCGAATTTGAGAGACCGCAGGTGCTTCAGACCCGCTATGCAGCTACGAATTCGAGACTGACAATACAATCAGACCACATCGAAGAGAAGACAGGAAATGTACCGCCGGGTCCCATAACTCTTTCAATGTCGGCTCTCGGTGCGCCCAACGCCGCCGAACGGTTAGCTCTTTGATCAAGGGGAAGAGACGCGAGAGTGACGACAGCACCTTGGCTTCCGCAGCAAGATCATTCAGAGTCTGAATCCTGTACCATATGCCAAAATCTTCGAGTTGTGGGAAGTCCGCTCGCTCAAGTAATGCGCCAACCTCGCCGAGAGAAAGTTCGAGGCGACCTACATTGAGTCGCGAGAAATTAGGGTAGAGTGATATCTCCAATTTCGTGAGCGACGAGGGTAAAAATTGGAAAAACATCTCATCTGCTGAGATGGCGCCAAAAGTGAGCTCTTCCAGTGACCGCAAAAAGCTTTGAGGAGACACAGGATGAGATGAAGGGTCCTCTGTGATGATAGGAAGTGATTTTCGTTCATGGGGATGAGCGGCAAGCCACAGAGTGAGCATCCGGAGCCCAGGCATTGTTTCCAGAAGTTGTAGTAATTGCCTGCGAGCACGCGGATGAGGTACAGGTAATGAGGCATCGGTTGGTGCTTCAACACCAACCGCAGCAGTCTCAGAGGACGGTTCATGAAGGTGTTCCTCTGGCCAAAAGCCTTCGATTTCAAGATTTTGAAGCGCAAGCCATGGTGAAGATAAATCCATAGCCTGGAACAAAAGGTCGCTGGGGAGGTACGCGGAGGTCAAGGTTTGACGGCATGCTGATAGCATTCGATGTAGGTTCTCTTGCTCCAGGTCATAATGACCTTGTTTCCGGCGCATCGCGCATTCCTGTCGGATAGCAGGATCTTGCACGTAAGGAGTGAGATACGCGAAGCCGCGCAGGAGGACTGGAGTTGATGATGAAGGGAGTTTGAACTGCTCATCTGCAATCCAAGAAGCTTGAAGGACCAGTTCGAAAGGAACCATGGCTGCGTGGAATGCGTCAAAAAGTTCGGGCCAGACGCTACCAGTCATGTCGCTCTTTACAATAAATAATCGGAGGAGTTTCATTTGTGGAAGCGCTTTCTTCAACAATCGCGCGTCAGCCGCTCGTAAGGCATTGGCCTCGGCGATAGGTGAAGGCATGTCTTCTCCCGTGAGTATGACTCGCCTACGAAGTGACCGTGTTCAAGCAAATGTGGCATAGAAAACGATGCAACGCAACTGAATGTATGGAAGTATTGTGTCCGGAGCGAATGCCCCATTGAAGTAACCAGGCCCCCAAAGCACATTCTCGAACAACCTTGGAAGTGAAATACGACGAAATAAGCGGCAGACCGACGATACTCGGAGCTGCTGTGGAAAGCTAAGATATTCGAAAATCAGCAACAAAACGTCTTGACTGAGGTTGACGATGAGAAGCTTGCTTGTGCTGTCGTCCTCGCATTCGGGGAGCGGATTGGGAGGCATCAAGGTCGATTCTCCACAGTAAGAAAGCTCTCGCACGATGACATTTGTGTGTCCATGATGGAGAGGGCAAAGAAGAGAGGACACAAGCCGGCATATCGGCACTCACCAGATTCTGAATCAGGCCTAATCAGGCGCATTCACAAAGACACCCTCGGAAAACATGCCATTCAAGTTATGGCCCCAAAGACTCATGCATTTATGCCTATGACTGTCGACATACAACCGATACAGCCAGCCGGCGCCCACCAACACTAACAGTAGAACCCCCAAAGCGGAACGGCTCCGCCATGATGTCCTTCCCCTCCAAGTCCCGGCCCGATGGCTGCTGATACGAGCACCAAATGTCGGCCATTGTATGAGTTCAAGTTGAAGAAACCCAGGACAAGATTCAAGTACAGCAGTCTTACAATATTAATAAGGTCTATCTAATTTCTGGTTCAACTGGTTTCTTGGGAGGCGGGCCGGGGCGCCGAACACCATCTTCACCATCGACCAATTTCCATGCCTTCCAATGTAACTCGGGCTTTCGTCCAAGGTCGCAGTACATCAAGATTACATCCAGCCAGGGAGCAGCCTCAACAATGATCTTGGCCATGTCGTAGAGTCGATTGACATGCCACCAGTATCCGTCGGTTTGGTAGGGAAATGGGAGTTTTCCAAACCGCTGGGGCATATCTGGATCGAATTTGAGAGACCGCAGGTGCTTCAGACCCGCTATGCAGCTACGAATTCGAGACTGATAATACCATCAGACTGGATTAAACGGTGAAGCAAAGAAATGTACCGCAGGGTCCCATAACTCTTTCAATGCTGGTTCTCGATGGGCCCAACGCCGCCGAACAGTCAGCTCTTTGATCAAAGGGAAGAGACGCGACAGCGATGACATCATCTTAGCTTCCGCATCTAGATCGTCGACAGTCCGGATTCTGTACCATATGCCAAAAGCTTCAAGTTGCGGGAAGTCCGCACGCTCGAGTAATGCACCGATCTCGTTGAGGGAAAGTTCAAGGCGACCGACATTGAGTCGTGAGGAAGCAGGGTAGAGTGATATGTCCAGTTTTGTGACCGACAATGGTAAGAAATGGAAAAACATCTCATCTGCCGAGATAGCACCAAATGTGAGCTGTTGCAGCGACCGCAAGAATGTCTGAGGGGATTCAGGATGTGACGATGAAGCATCTGTGATGATAGGAAGTGGGTTCCGTTCATGGGGGTGAACCGCAAGCAACAAACTGAGTGTGCGAAGCGCGGGCATTGCTTCTAAAAGTTGAAGTAGTTGCCTGCGTGCGCGGTTACGGGGCACAGCATTTGTCGGTTCTTCACCATCTGAATCAGCCGCCACAACAGGCTCAAGGGCCGGTTCATGTAGATGCTCCTCTGGCCAAAACCCTTCGATTTCCAGCTTCCGAAGCGCAAGCCACGGTGATGATAAATCCATGCCCTGGAACAGAAGTTCGCTGGGGAGGTACGTGGAGGTCAGAGTCTGACGGCATGCTGATAGCATCCGATGTAGATTCTCTTGTTCCAATTCATAATGACCTGGTTTCCGGCGCATCGCGCATTCGTGCCGGATAGCAGGGTCTTGAACGTAAGGAGTGAGATAGGCAAAAGCCCGTAGGAGAATGGGAGACATCGATGCAGGAAGTTTGAACTGCTCATCTGCAATCCAAGAAGCTTGGAGTACCAGTTCGAAAGGAACCATGGCTGCATGGAATGCGTCAAAAAGTTCGGGCCAGACGCTACCAGTCATGTCGCTCTTGATAATGAAAAGACGGAGGAGTTTCATACTTGGAAGCGCTCTCTTCAACAATGGGGCGTCAGTCACTCGCAGGGCATTGGCCTCATCGATAAAAGGAGGCATGTCTTCCCCCGTCAACACCACTCGCCTGGGAGATATGATCAGAATATTGTCAGACGGATAGTAATGCAACGCAACTGAATGTAGGGAAGTATAGTGTCTGGAGCAAATGTCCCATTGAAGTAGCCAGGCGCCCAGAGTACGCTCTCGAACAGTCTTGGAAGCAAGATGCGACGAAAGAAACGGCACACTGAAGATACCCGTAGTTGTTGAGGGAAGCTAAGATATCCAAAAATCAACAACAAAACGTCTGGGTTGAGGTTGACGATGTCAAGCTTGCTTGTGCTATCGTCCTCGCATTCGGGGAGCGGATTGGGAGGCATCGGGATGGATCCTCCAGGGAAGAAAGCTCTCGCACGATGAGCTCGGCATCATTTGTGTGTCCATGATGGAGCGGGCAAAGAAGACACGATCACGTGCTTGATGATATGTAAACTAGATAGTTTTTACATAGGCGTTCCTTGAGTCTTGACCCGACTTCAAATCTGAGTCACCACTCAGCAGTAAAGCGTCGTTATTCACAAGGCTGGCGGTCTTTACTCAGGATCTTCAGCGAATCTGGCTGCCAATTGTCGAGCCTCGGCTGTCTGCAGACTCCAGGCTTAGTCAATTAACCTCTTGAAAGGCGATGCATATCTTTCAGAAAATGTCAAATAATTGTGCTTTCAACTCCTGTATGTACATTGAGGCAAGAAAATTGACGAGTGGGGCAACGTTAAGCCAAACAGGAGTCGTAAATTCTTGAGACCGAATTGTTGGTGCGCGTACAAGTCTTCCTCCCAATCGAGGGGGGATGGGTGAAAAATATTGTCACGGTGTCGCCTGAGGAAGTTAGGAGGAACACGCAGAGTGGAGACGACGACGAGGGAACCGGTTCGGGGCAAGTTGCATGGATTGGCTTCCATTGCGGATGCTGACTAGAAATCGAGCATGAAATTGCTCTGTTGCTTGAGACAAGTCGACATATTTAGATTGTGCCGCGTTGTGCCTGCGATTAGGTGTTCAGACCGAGTCTTCTTTGTTGAACAGCGCCAGAATATCTTTCACCTGTTTGGAAGGCAAGTAAATGTGAGGTAAACAGGTGAACGGCACAAGTGGTAGGTTGGGTATTCAGGACTACATCATATGGGGAATTGGTAGTCTAGACCAAGTCGGTGCTGTCCAACGAGGCCGTCGCTTTGCTTGACGAGACTGAATAATGAAAGTTGAGGTGAATAAACAAGAGTCGGGCAAGACAACTGGTCGGGTTATGCCGAATAGGGTCGATTCAGAGTGAGAATCTGACTCAGGCCAATAGCGATGAGTCGTTTGCTTAGAGTTCACCGTCCTGGCTGTGAGAGCAGTTGCCAAGTACATTTGGTCACTCACGAATCACATTGTGATTTAGCGCCGAGCCAATCGCACCTTTCTTTCGTTCCGTCATGGTCAACCCGAGAAAGAGCGCTTCCGAAGGGAGGATTGGGCTGGAATGCGAGGTCGCTGGGCACGCAGCCGGTGGATGAGCACTCAGGTATGTGAAACAAGAATCACCCTCGTCAAACACGCATTGATGCTTTGAAGCTTCAAGAATCTTGCAGTCGTGTATCGCTCGAGTAGCAAGAAGAAAGCGGTTCGTTCTTGTCCTGATTATGCCCGATGTCTTCGAAACTTGCCTGCAACCTGCCCACAATCGTTTCAAAACTCAGCTGCGTTCGACCCTAGCATGTCAACCCAAGACGAAGAGCGGAGACTTTCTGTGAGCGGCGAGATGGAAACGAAGCACCCAAGGAGAAACTGGGGTCGTATCGTTACTGAGCTTGTCTGGAGGTATCCTATTGGCGACAACGACAGATGAAAAAAACGCGCCTGCTTGATTAGATATTGCTGATGCAGAACTTGGCGGGTCTATCTTCATGGCTAGGACGCGTCGCGTCACATCGACTCTCTTATTTCGCTCTCCACTATGCAGAACGACCCACTGCTCCCTAAACTCATACCTCTTCCGCGGCCCAACCTTCCTGCCGGGGCATATCGCTCCCCATCTCCCAGTCGGCGAACCAGTGTTGCTATGATATATGCACGGCCGAGCTATTCCGCCTTCAAAGAAATGAATGCAGCAGACGAAGCGAGGAGACGAGCGGAGTTCGTGACCCCCGAACTCGACGACGCTGCTACGCACTCAGGCCTTACCCCGCCAACGCCAACACCCACTCGCTTTCCTTCAAAACAAGCTCGCGTTATGGATCCAGTATGTGCCCGTTGTGATCATAAAACCAAAGTAGCTCACTTGAATGCAGGACTCGCCGATGGTATGCCCAAGCTCGTCACTGTCTTCCCTTCGTTTATCGTTAATAGGACGATTACGAGGATGGCGAGGACGACCAGGTTGACGAAGACCAAGCGGAAAGCACCCCGGTATGTCGGCGTCTGCAAGTCACCACGAATATTTGTCAACATTATTTTATAGTCCCCCGCCCATGCCGCCACCGACCTTGAACCCGTGCAAAGAACGATGACCGAAGAGAAGGCTATACAGGTACCCGACCCGGACATGGATGCACCCATTACACCTCCAAGCGACCAACACATTACCCCCAACAACTCGCCCAGTAAGAATGTAGGCAGCCTCAGCGGCGATGCCATATTCCGAGACGTGATGGGTCTGCCTCCAGCAGTTGGTATGACTGCAGCAGATGCTGCAAAGGTCGCCGAGTCCAAGGTTGTTGTCCTAGATGGGACGATTTTTTTTCTCGCTGACTTTGTCGACAGAAGTGGTCGATACCACTGGCCGCGGAAGGTGATGCCAACGGGTCGGGCCTCAAAGCGCCTCTCGATGTAGCCGTTGAGGAGATCGATGGTCCCCAGTCGGTGTTGAGCGCAGCGAGACAGGGCGTCGGCGCGAAGATGAAAGGGAGGGCGCGGGATGAACGAGAGGAGCGGAAGCTCAAGGCCGATGGGCCGTCAAGGGAAGAAGCAAGAACAACTAGTGATTGTGTAGACTATGTAACATGGATGATGCTCTGGCTATAGATATCAACACTCCCACCTAGCCAGAGCTACCTCCAAAACAATGGGGATATAGCATCAGCTCCCACCGAAACTAGCACACCCATGAAGCACTATCATGGCTTGGGCAAGTACCGAAAGGGTCCAACAACAAATCCGGGCGAAATAAAAGGCTCCCACCGGATCCAACACACCCATGAAGCAGTAACGTGGCCTGTGATGAATATGGTGAAAGGGGAAGGGGTCGAGAAACATCGATCGTATCTTGTCGCTGCCAAGGCCCTCTCAAATAACAACACGTGCAGCTGAAGACCGAACCACGGCCTGGGTACTGTCCATGCGGCGGTAGTACTCTTGCATCGCATTCTCCAGGACGTCTCTGAGGATCTCATCCTCGTCCTCATCGGTATCAACGTTGACGCCAGTGGCAGCGGCAGCTCGTTCAGATCTCGGCCCGTAGAGTTTGGGGCGGTACTGCGCAATGGATCGTAGAACCCAGTCACGGACAGCTTGCGGCATGTCAGAGAGACAGAACTGTGCTCGATGGCCTTCACGACCGCAGCGGAAGCAGTCCTTGTCAGAACGTGGCGAGCACCAGTTGTAGCCGTTGGCATGTGCCTCAACTGGAGCTTGGGCAGAAGGCGGGGAGGGGACTTGGACCGCAAAGGCCCCGGGAATGACAGGCTCGCTTCTCTCGCTCTTGATGGCAGCCATGAAGTCGGGCTCCTCGAGCTTTATGGCATCGTGAGCATCGGATCTGAGTCGAGCGGCAGCGCTGGCAAAGGTGGGGGGGGTGGCAAGCTTCGCAAGCTCCTTCTTTGTTGGGAGCATCAATGCGTCGAGGCGTACGAGAAGAATGGCAGTTTTGACATCGTCGGAGATGACCATGCCCATGCCCTCCAAGCGTTTGCACAGTTTATCGATGGCTGCCGAGTATTGGCTGACGGGCTGACTGGTGTCATGCACAATGTTGATGAGCTGGTCGAAGGCGACAAGGCGGTCGGAGAAGGTGAGGGAGATGAATGCTTGTCGAAGGGCATGCCAACGTTCGCGAGTGCCGCTCAGCTCCGAGATGTGGTGGCGGTAGTCGGGGTGGGTCTTCGTCAGCAGCAAGAAGCTGATTTCATGGTCAAGACGCTGGTCAGCGGCGCCTAGGGCACCTTGGGTCCCAGCTTCGTCTGTAACCCAGGTGGCTCCCGCAGCACGCGTGAACTCCTCGAAAATGGTGGCGTGGGTGGCGAAGTTGTCAGGCTGAAGGTCTTTGATGTTCTCGATGGATGCGACGAGGTAGTATGGGAGGACCATGGTGGTGAAGACCTGCAATGAGTCTCGCGAGTCGATGGTGATGTTGGTCGAGGGTGAAAAAAGGTGACGTGGCACGGCTGCGGGTCATAGCCGACAGAAAAGGCCGGGGCCCATAACCTGTTGAGCGCAGCGAGACAGGGCGTCGGCGCGAAGATGAAAGGGAGGGCGCGGGATGAACGAGAGGAGCGGAAGCTCAAGGCCGATGGGCCGTCAAGGGAAGAAGCAAGAACAACTAGTGATTGTGTAGACTATGTAACATGGATGATGCTCTGGCTATAGATATCAACAGTCGGAAGGATACACAGAGATAGTCGAGAGAAACCGTTCTGGCGACTTCATTTTGGTATGTTACATGGTTTTCAATATCTTCATTCTGACCAGCAACAACAGGACTTGCCGAGCAATGCGGCAGAGGATGCCATCTCCTTCCCACAAATCACAGTGAAACTGGAGGTACGCCCTCACTTCGTCGTCACCACTACTCGCTCAGTTGACTCCAATAGTCGACCATTGCAGAGGGTAGCAACCAAACAACTTCTCACAGCTTGATCGAAGGAGGGTCATCGAACAACTGGCGGAATGAATTTGCTGACGACCTTACCAACACCCCAGTCGTTACTATCGAACAGGTGAGGGAACACATATTGGGACGATCTCAATCACCCACTTATACCTTACTAGACTACCTATCGAGATGTGAAGGGTCATATCTTCGGTCAGAGCAACAAAGACACTGGAACACTGTTTGGATTTCGTTGAAAGCCCATGTAAAATAACAAAGTTGGATTGATAATGTACTCTACAAACGGATCATCCGTTGTGGCAGAGACGAAAGCACACCGATTCAACACTGCTGTTACTACGATACTACCATCGATCTCAACAGAGCTGGGTTGGCGTCCCAACATAGGGTAAGCAATGTGCAAGACGAGTAGAGGGGTCGACCAATTTCCCACGCTGTTTCCAGGAGCATCCCGAAGACCCAGACTTGTCAGCGCATCGCCCGTTGCTCCTTCCCATATATCAAGTAGACGATGTTTCGGAGAAGCAGTGAAGAAAAGGTGTGAAATCGGACCGATTTTGAGGATAAAGCAGGGTTGGCGAAGACGCATGAAATGGCACCATTTCCCACTGGCTCAAGCACGCACATGAGCCGTCAACGACGAGCCGCTCTGCAAGAGTGATGCTGATAAGAAGGTCCAATCGTCGTCTGGAAAGAATGAAAGGGAGAGAAAACAGTGCGAGCGCAGTGGATACAAGAATGAAATCGGACCAAGCTTTTCGTCTGCGAGGGTGAATGCCCATGCGTAGTCGAGAAGAAAAGAAATGAATGAATGAACAGGTGGAAAAGCCCAATGCACCTCCGATAAAGATGGTTGGGAGGCTGATGCAAGCAAGTAGCGCCACCGAGACTTGAATACGACAGAGCTTCCAGAATGAGCAGGACCTTTGGTGTTTAGCTGTTGTTTGCCGCGCAGAGGTCGAGTTATTCGCTGCATGTCGATGAGTAAGTCCAGACAGACTACATACCGATTCAGAACAACTTCAGGAAGGGATGCTGCCCAAGAAGTCCGAAAACATTATATCCTTCACTCGGACTGCTGAAGAGTTAAATCTGAGGCCTGTATGATGATTTAGAGCTCACGAAGACATGAACGTGGAGAAGGAAAGAGTGGCAATGTATGACCGTCACGACTCACGGTTTGATCAGACATGTTTCCGCCCTGCCGATCCAAGCGATGTTTTAGATGTGTATAAGCAAATACGACTCCTAGCTCAGTAGTAAAGCGGTCGTTATTCACAAGGCGGTCTTCACGCAGGATCTCTAGCGAACAATTGTTGAGCCTCGACCGTCTGCACATTATTGCCAGCCTGAGGAACGAGTCGGCTCGTACGACTATACTCGGAGTCTCGGATGTTTACATCAATCGTAGTACAGAAGTAGCAGCAAAATTCAGACAATGGACGCTGATGTAGGATAATTTGGACCCAAGTATACCTCCATTCCCTTGGTCTTCCACAATTGGAACGGCTCGAGGACGGAGGAGTCGAGCTCATATAGCTCTAGTATAGACGGCTCCCCCGAGTCAGTAGGAGATGGCTCTGCCAATCCCAGCCCAACCAACTCATCCTCTTCCCACTCGATTTCGTCCCATTCGATTCTCACAGCCCTCAACGGCCACGCCGGCTCTCGTCCCAGTCGGCTCGTCACCGCTCGCCCAATCAACGACAGCGCGTCAGAGGGCGGTGCCGCTGTTCCAGACAAGTCGAGTGGCTTGCAGCGGACAAAACGTTGAAGTTTGGGAAGGAACTCGTTGTTCGCGCCTAATTGCTCGCAGAAGATTTCCAGGTGGTCTTGGTCAGGCAACGCTACGACCAGCTCCTCCAGTGATGCAAAGGAGGGTGTTTTCAAGGCAGCGAACAAGGGAGGCAGCCCGTTTCCAGGCTTGACGAAAGTGAGATGGAATGTCGTGAGGGGCGGCCACGATGAACGAGCGAGAAACTCGTCTAACGGGGCGCCAAGGTGGTCAGTGCGCTCGAGGCGGAGGTCGCGGAGAGAAGGCAGTGTCACGGTCCGGAGAAAAGACACTGACGCGCCAGACTTGTAGCTGTAGGCGAGGTCAAGGCGTCGAATGGAGGAATGTACAAGCGGCTGTTCAGGTTGGAAGACGATCCTAGATGTCTCGTGTTCGGTCAGCTTGAAAGCTAGCAGATTTGGCAGTCCTGAAACGGCGCTCAATGCAGTCTCGAAGTCGTCCTGACAGACGTGAAGCCGCGTTAACTTCTGAACAGTTGCAACATGGAAGGTCGACAGAGGAAGACGTTCAATGGTAAGATTCCATAAACTGCTTGCAGATTGGAAAGCCGAGCCGACGGGCCAGGAGAGGTTATCCCATTCATCATCACTCTCCTCCTCTTCAATATTTTCAATGGTAACGCCTAGTTCTTCCAGTCCGGGGAATTCCCAACTCCGGACCAGATTTTCTAGCGTGACGAAGTCGCGAAGCCCAAGGCTAAGCTGAAGTGACCGAATATGAGACGTGTGTGCCTTGAGGGTCGTCATAACTGCATCGAATTGGGGCTGCTTGAGTACAACCAATTCGCCTTGGATGGTGATATCAAGGGGGTACTCCGCAGCGCGCGTGAGCCACATTTCTGCAAACTCAGGAAGGTGGTGACGCCGGACTCTAAGGTCAACAACAAACGTGGCCCAGAGGACAGGTATTGAGAGCGCAAGCCGTCGCCAGCCTTGAGAAATCTGGGTCAGAAGTAGCGGCGCCTGAATAGTTCTGGCCCGTCTGCGTTGATATTCCGAATCCCACCCTTCCGTAGGAATTGGTATGCAGAGGCGGAATATCTCGCCAACGATTTCAGTCGGTAGCACATCGTCCATCGCTTTGGATTGAGAGGGTTCTGAGGAAGCCTGAATGATCCTCACATATAGGCGAGAGAGCCTAAGATCAACGTGAAATCAGAGAAGATGCTTCAGTTGATTCGCGTTGCACAACGACTCGGAGACAACCTCGCGTGTTGCTAGCGCAAGCGTTGGCCACAGGATTTAGAGTTATAGGTCGACAAGTTTCCCATTTTATCATCCTGAGTACATAGCCTCAAGGGTAGTGGGTTTAATAGTAGATGGACACGGATGGACATATAACAACGCAAGAAATAGTGTGACAAAGCGTGACTAGCCACAGGGTCACGTGCACCGAAGCCGAAACTTGAGTATGTAGAATGATTCAACTAGTACTGGGACTGTTCGAGGATGCCCGTGAGAACAGCAAGTAAAATAACCGTCTTCGCCAAATCATACCCTCAACTTCAGGCCTTTTACATAACCCTGGTATCTAATTATCCAACAAGAGGAAGCCAAAAAAGGAGCGTGTGTAGGTGCAATATGTACTGCTGCAGATAAATGCTCGATACAGGTCATTAGATGTCGTATGCAGATGTCATCAGAGAACGAGGAGGGTTCAAGAAGAAGGAAAAAAATAATATGTGAAGCATAAATTACCGCTGACGGCCTAAACCGCCCATTCGTCGCTCGCGCTCCGACTCAACCCACCTGACGCCCCGCCCCACATTGCTCTCGCACTCACACCCGTCCCTCCAATCGTCCTTTCCCGGTCATCGACATATCCCGGTCCCAAACCAAGCCCCAGTCCCAACGCCGACCCGCCCACCAACCACGACAGCCACCCCTCTTCCTTCTCCCCCTCCTCGCTGCCCTCGTCATCCGCCCGGCCCTTGCCCTTCCGGCCGGCCCGAGTTTTTGACTTGTTCCGCGTCTTCCGTGACTTGCTTTTCGATATCGACGAGCCACCCGGTTTAGACCCAGTATAACTCTCCGGCAACTCCGCAAAACTGATTCGCTTCGCGCTCCGGGGTGTCGACGTCCCACTCGACGGTTTACTCGCGTGTCCCATCCAAAACACGCTCCCCAGGCCTTTACTCGTGCCCTCGCCTTTATCGTTCTCTGCAACAATAGGGGTGCTAGGAGCACTTGACCGCTTCATAATGCTGACAACACGCTCTGGCGGCGTGCTCACACTATGTCGGCCACCTTTGCTGAAAAGTCGCGACACAGATGCAGTAGCCGTGGATGATGCCGCATGTGGAACCGGTGGCGGTGATCTAGGCTGAAATTTCTTCGCAGGTGGACGTGGAGGCGGGGGAGCTGGTAAGATGTGAGATAAAAGAGAAGAGTTGTCTTCGATTTTCTCACCCTCTTCTAAAATCCGCCTCAATGCGCTCCTGGCCTCCTTCGCTCGACATCCATCCGCACCCATATCACCGCCATCATCCGAAGATTGCGGCGAATGCCCTAAATTCTCAGGTGGTAATTGCGCAATGATGCTGGCGCTGAGGTTTGAGTGAGTTGTAAATGAACTGGATGTTGGTGGGGAAGCAGGCATGGAATCAGGTTTGGGTCCATTATGTACGGAGCTGAACCAAGAACTAACGGTTCCGGGGGTTGAAAGCAGTGGAGATGTTGATGACTCGACCTCGGGTACTTCGGTCCGATGCGGCGTGTGAGAACCAGCTCTTGAAGATGAACGAGAGCCACGAGTGACCGCTCTTCCACGTGAAGAGCTGCGAGAAACCGCAAGCTTGGGCGAAGTTGAGTGCGGCGGATGGACAAAAGAGCTCAGCATCTGATATGCTGGCGTCGATGGTTCCGGCGACCTTGTAGATGTTGAAACAACCGGTTTGGATTCTGAAGGAAGACCAGTAATCCGCCAGTCGCTTGGGGCAGCGCGAAGGCCGAGGGTTGACGGTAAAGCTATAGAATCATCCGATATTGTTGTATCCGCATCAATGTACTGGGTAAGAGCGCGAGGGGCTGGTGCAATAAACCGCGCACGACTGGGTAGTGCCATTTGCAAGCCATTGTCGGAGGTGGAAGTCGAGGCAGAGAGGTAAGAAGTCCGTCTGGATGATGTGTCTGTGTCAAGAGACGGTCTTCTTCGAGGACGGCGGTGAGCTATTGGCGATGAAGCGGGAGGGAGGGAAGAGCTGACTAGAAGCTCGTCAACATCGTGAGCAATCTTGGCAAGATCGTCTGCCCAGGCCTCATTGCGGGATGGTGGCATGGGAATGGGGGCTGCTGCCGCGCTGGCTGTAGGTGAAGATTCGCGCAATGTAGACGTCGTCGGGGTTATTGACGATTGCAGAAGCGCATTTGAAAGCTCTAGGGCATGCACACTCCGTTCCAGAAGAGAGTCAATAAAAGCGTCCTGTGGGCTTGATGGTCGGCGGCGATGCTGAAGCCTCCGTCGAGGGGATATTGGGGGGGCAGGGGGTATATAATGAGATGGGGCTGGCTCCGAGTCGGTATCGTTCTCTGCATCGGCCTCTACATCGTCGGGCTCATATTCTGGCGGGGGGACTAAATCTCTCCAATATTCGGGGAGAGTGTTGGTCGTGTCGGAAGAGAGCCGTAGAGCGGAGACTCGTTTTCGATGCGTGCGACCCTGGCGAGAGTTCGCCAGCGCCGCCATCGTCGTCCACCACAAACCACAGAAAGCGTGTGACACACGTCCCGACGGATTAGGAAGTTACGTGACAGCTTTAGTCACACGTGCGTCATAGTTTTTGCACTCAGTGCCAATTCTTTGGTTGCGCGAAGACAAATATCGAACGGTTAGCTCAGCGGAAGGTAAGCTTTTGCATTCTGTTAATATTTACTAGTACTTGTCGCAGCAAAGGTGATACTCGTAGTCTTTTTTCGGTTGTGGCCACACTTCAATCGAGCTAATAATTTTTTGTGAGCCCAAAGTCTAGCTTCGAGGTGGAGGCAACTGCACCTGTGTTAAAAATTGTCTAAAAGACGCGTTTCCCCGCCATGATAACATGCACATCAATACCCATTCCTCTGAGCTTTGTGAGATCAGTTATGTCGGACAGATAATTCCAAGCGCTGGGACCAGGCACAGGTGACGAGAGCTTGAGCTGTGTCATCGGGGCTGGTCGGGGGGACGCTTCGGACGAGGTCCTCATCAGGATGCTGCGTCCGGCATGGGCGACAAAACTCCTGAAATTTGACAGCCAGTAGCTTGTGACATACTCGGTGTAAGAGATCTCCAGTCGCGTCAAGTAGGGAAGGAAGGTTAAAGTTGTCGCTAATTTTTCCATTAAGCCTGATGCAAGCGAGCTGGGCAGGGCGGCAGCATGTATCTTCAATTCGGTTATCCGCAAAGCACGCAATGGGCTCGAAAGGGTCTCGAAGGGAAGACTCTCGCCAGAAGGAATGCAGTGTTAGACTTTGGATAGATGGAGAGCGTTTGAAGAACGCAACGACAATTTGCGGGTGGAGACTTCTAGGGCCCCTGTCGACATAATGCTGTGTTTCTAGGGCGAGGCTGCGCAGCGCGGGAAATGCGAAATATTCGAGGACATGAACTTCTGTGGAGCACTCGAAAATGGCCAAGTCACTGAGCCGAGGATGGACAATTGGTTTGGACGGAGCGGGTTCAAGTTCCCTGTCGCTGTCAGGGGAACCTACCTTTCGGCCCCTCGGAGACGATTCCGATTCCGGTCCGACTCCGGCTCCGACTCCGGTGATCGCATCACCGCCTCCGTCAGGCGCATCGCCGCCCCCCGCCTGGCGATCCCCCTGGGACCTGGCCTGCGACATGGCGCAGGCATACTGCACGGAGCAACGATCAACCTTGGCGCGTCAAGAGCGCAGTATATAGTTCCGCTACCTAGCAGGCGGACCCTTAGAGTTTCTTCTCTTTGGATCCTCCCCTGCTAGGTCAGCCTCACTTGTATTTGCTTACTTCTATTCACTCTTTGGATCCTCCCCTGCTAGGACCTTGATCTCAGGCCTCCGGGGTTGCCCTTACAGCAGAAGAAACTCCCTACGGGATCAACCGGACAAGATTGCTAGGTTCGGCGCTGACTCAGGCTCGGAATACGAGTCCGTTCCGCCCTCGTCACCCCCCTACCACTTGTCCCCTCCTCCTCTGTCACTCCTGTCATCCCCGCACCTGTCATGCCTTCTGGAGCTACTCCTGACGCTGACACTCGGCTGGATGCACTCGAGGCGAAAATCGACCGCCTAACTGAGGCCCTTACTCTTCTCACCACCCAGGCTTCCGCTGCCGCTGCCGCCGCTAATACTGCTGGCGGACCCCAAACAACACCACCCCGGAGACGTCGATTCCGACTCCGACTCCGGTTCAGGGCGATTCCAAGGCCCTCTTTGGCGACATCAACCTCGCCTCAAAATTGGTCTTGCGACCAAACCCTCCGTTCACCTTCAACGGCGATCGGAAACGCGGCCGCGCGTTTCTCTATGCGGTCCGCACCTACGCCCGCCTTGCCCCTGAGGCCTTCGTGGTCAACGGAGAGGCGAGCGAGGAAAAGGCCATCCGCTATGCCATGTCGTTTATGGCAGAAGGACCCGCTCAGCAATGGGCGGAGCGCCACGGAAGCAAAGCCCCCGTTTCCGTTTCCGTCCTGGGGCTCGTTCGTTTCCGAGTTCCGACTCCGGTTCGTCGAGGAGAATGAGCAAGATCATGCTCTCTCCAAACTGGAGACTTCCGCCTATCACATGGGCACAAAGGATGTCTACCAGTACACCGACGACTTCGAGGACCTGATGGACCTCGCCGGATTCGAAGACGCGTTGGTCAAGGTGACCAAGTTCTGCCACGGACTTGACCCCCTGATCAACAACGGAATCACGTCCTCGAACGACCCCCGGACCTCCGGGACTACCTTAGCTGGCGCACCCGGGCCTTCCGTCAATACGAGGCCCTGGTCCGGCCAAGCTGATCAAGTCAGCCGCCCCCAAGACGCCTGGCAGTTTGATTCGGACTCCGTTTCCGGTCAACCGCATCCCGGCTCCGGCCCCTTTCCGCCCGGTGGCTCCGGTCGTGCCACCCGTGGCCCGCGCCCCCGCTCCGGCGCCTCCAGCTCCCGTCCCCATGGAGTTGGATCGCACTAGGGCTCGGGGTGCCCCTCGTCGCGCCTGCTTCAGGTGCGGCGACCCAAACCATCTCGCCCGGGATTGCCCCTCCCCCGGACGTCCGCTCAATGGACATCCTCGACGAGGTGATCCAACAACTCGGTGACGAGATGTTAGCGGAGTTGATCGCCCGCTACTCGGACACAGCTGCGCTGCCGGAAACAGTCGCGAGTCGATGGCCGGAGAGGATTTTGTCCCCCGCGACGAGTGACTGGTGTGCCCTCGTTCACGTCCGTAAATCGTTTCGCTTGTTTATATGACGAATCAATTCCTTTGCCCTACAACGAGCCTGAAACGAAAGACATACCCTCCCCCCCCCCTTTCGACTCCGTCTCCGACTTCGCCCGCGACTCCGGTCATCGTCCTTCGCCGCCTCACTGCCTGGGAAAAGAAACTGCCCAAGCAGTACACTGTCGCTGCTTCCCCTGGAGTGAACTCCCTCCACCTCCCGTTGGAGCTAGAGTCCACTACCAGCGCTTAAGCTCTCGCTCTCTGGCCTGGTTGACTGTGGTGCCACCTCCGACTTTATCGACACGAACTATGTCGCTCGGAATGGCATTCCGGTCCGCACCCTGGCGCAACCGATTCCGGTCTTTAACGTTGATGGCACTCCGAACGACGCCGGCTCCATCAACCAGATCGCGGACTTGGTCTTATGCTACAAAGGCCATTCCGAGCGTGTTCAACTCGCCGTCACTCATCTTGGTAAACAAGACCTTATTCTGGGGTACTCCTGGCTGCGGAAGCATAACCCGGAAATCAATTGGGAAACCAAGGAGGTCAAGATGACACGGTGCCCCCACGGTTGCTCCACTTGCCGCGAGGAAGAACGCGTTGAACGGACTGAGCTACGGCGACTCCGGCTGCTCCAGAAGCGACTCCGCTCCGGCCCGTTCCCCGGGTCTGCACCATGGACCTCTCTGGGCCTGACGACGGAGACGATTCCATCTCCGGTGACGACTCCGCCCTGCCTGATCTGATGCCGGACTCCGACGATGATGAAGACGATGGTCAGCTTGAAGATGGTGACCACATCTTCTACACCTCGTTCCGCCCCTCGGAGGAGATACGCGCTGGCAGTACTGTCTCACAGCGCCTGGCCGAAGCCTTCGCCAGGAACTCCGCCCCTGCGCCCTCCGAGATCCCGGACTGGGCTAAGGAGTTTCAGGACGTCTTCAACAAGGAGTCCTTCGACACGCTACCGGAGCGGAGAGCCTGGGACCACGCCATTGAACTCGTCCCCCGACGCTAAGCCCACCAACTGCAAGGTGTACCCCATCTCGCCCCTCGAGCAACGCGAGCTCGACGCTTCATCGAGGAAGGGCTTTCGACCGGCCGGATTCGCCCTCCAAGTCTCCGATGGCGTCTCCGGTCTTCTTCGTCAAGAAGAAGGACGGCGGACTCCGCTTCGTCCAGGACTACCGTGCTCTCAATGCGATGACTGTCAAAAACCGGTACCCCCTTCCGCTGATCAACGACCTCATCAACCGGCTCAAAGGCGCTCGTTACTTCACCAAACTCGACGTTCGTTGGGGCTTCAACAACGTCCGGATCAAGGAAGGTGACGAGTGGAAAGCGGCTTTCCGGACTAACCGAGGCCTGTTCGAGCCCTTGGTGATGTATTTCGGCCTGACAAACTCTCCCGCGACGTTCCAAACGATGATGAATGACATTTTCCAGGACCTCATCCTCTCCGGAGACGTCATGATCTACCTTGACGACATCCTGATCGCCCATTCCGACCTCCGGAAACACCGGCAGATCGTTCAGGAGGTCTTGCGGCGACTCCGAGAGCACAAGTTGTACCTCCGAGCGGAGAAGTGCGACTTTGAAAAATCGTCAATCGAGTACCTCGGAGTCATCGTCTCCCACAACCACGTCGAAATGGACCCCGTCAAAGTCGCAGGCGTCTCCGCTTGGCCGACTCCGGAAAACAAGAAGGACATTCAGCAGTTCCTTGGGTTCGCTAATTTCTACCGCAGGTTCATTCGGGACTTCTCGACCCTCGCGCCCCTCTCTTCGTGCTCACCAAGAAGGACCAGCAGTGGACTTGGGGCGACGCGGAGGCCTCCGCGTTCCAAGCGATCAAGGACGCAGTCACCTCGGAACCGGTCCTGGCGATTCCGGACGACGCACGGCCTTTCCGACTTGAGGCGGACAGCTCTGATTATGCGACGGGGGCGGTTCTTTCACAATCCGCCCCGGACGGGAAGTGGCACCCTGTAGCATTCTATTCCAAAAGCTTAAATGATGTCCAGCGCAACTACGAAATCCACGACAAGGAGATGCTCGCGATCATCCGCGCACTCGAGGAGTATAGACACTTCCTCGAGGGCGCCGCGCATCCCGTCGAGATTTGGACTGACCATAAGAATCTGGAGTACTTCAGGAAGACGCAGCACCTCAACCGGAGACAGGCCCGCTGGTCCCTCTACCTCTCCCGGTTCGACTTCACGCTGCACCACAAGCCCGGCCGCGACATGGGCCGACCTGATGCCCTCTCTCGGAGACCAGACCACGGAATCGATTCCGACA